CACACACACACACACACACACACACACAATAAATGTTAAAAAAGTATGCAGTAGAAATATGCAGCAATAATACATGTATTAATGAAAACAAACCCATAATCTCACAAATAAGAGAGATTAACATTTCCTCACTTTTACTTGTAACTGCCTATCTCCACCAAATAAATGTCTCTGTAATTGATACAATTTTGTATCTTTTTCTTTAAAAAGAAAACTTAAAAATAAAAATTGCACCTTTTTTTTTTTTTAAGTTTTGAGAGAGGGTCTCACTATGTAGTTCAGATTGCCCTGGATTTACTCATTATATGTAGCCCTGGCTGGCGTCAGACTCTCAGTGTTCCTCCTGCTTCAGTGTCCTGAGCACTGAAATTAAGGGAATATGCCACCACAGCCTGAAAAAATTACGTTCTCCCCCCTGTCTACATGGTGTGGGTCTCACTACTAGATTGGACTCTTAATGATTCTCCTGTTTTGTTTTTTTAATTCTCCTATTTACAGCCTCCCAAGAGCTGGGATTACAGGCATGTGCCACCATGCCCAGTCTCAATTGTTGTTTCAGCACACCCCAGGAGCGGGGCCAGCAAGGCAGGCCCGGGGGTCAAACCCCCAAGCCCCTGAGCAGGTGGTTTAATCTGCTGAGCTATTTGGCTGGCCCTAGGAGTGTTTCTTATGTACTACAAAATGGCATGGTATGTCACATCAATTTATTAGATACTCCACCAAGAACTAAAAGGTTCTTGAGGGCTGGCCAGATAGCTCAGTGGACTAAAGCACCTGCTTAGGCAGAGCACAGCTTTTGGGGTTTGATCCCCAGCCTACCATGCCAGCCCTGCCTCCGGGGGGCGCTGAGACTTCCATTGAGACTGGATGTGGTAGAATGCACCTGTAATCCCAGCATTTGGGAGGCTGAAAACAGGAGAATCACTACGAGTCTGATCTACATAGTGAGACCCTGTAGACCCTGTACCAAATACATTAAAAAAAATAAATATATGAAAGATTCTTAAAAATACCCAACACATGCTGGGGAGATGGCTCAGTAGAATAAATGCTTGCCTGGAAAGCGCAAGGGCCTGAGTTCAATCCCCAGTCCCATCTCCCCCCGCTCCAAAAAAAAATACCCAACACAAAGGATGGATAACTGTTGAAGAATTTGGAAATGCTAATTTAATTACCTTAATTTGATTGGTCTTTGTTGCATACATGCATCAAATTTAATGTATACATAGTTACATACATTTATTATGTCAATAAAATATTGGACAAAAGGAACTTTTTGCATATACTTGTTAGTAAATGAGAGAACACTGCTGTACATTGGAGACTTTTCCCTTGTGTGATTACATTTTCTTCCCATCCATAGACATGTATTTTATGCTATATTGTGACTGTTTCATTCCTTTACTGTTCTGTATGAGCTTAAACACATGTAAATATTTTGTTTTTCATGCTGTAACTCTTGCTATTAGGAATTGTTAATGCATTTTCATTGCAGTGTTTTGTTTTCTTTTATGCCCCTGAGATTTCCTGTAATTAGTATTCCAACTCATGCATAGCTCACTGTTCTACCATTTTTTTAGTATTTCTTGGCTGTACACTGTAGCTATTATAGGAAATCTCTGGCGGTAGTTCCAGCTTTAGTCTTCTAAAATGATTGTAATAATTTGTGTATGTATGTTTGGTTTTTTTCATATTTGATGTCATTTTTCAGTACTTGAAACAATTATATTTTATTCCCTAGTATACACTAGCTACTATTGTCATTCCCTGCATGTTGCACAATGATGTTTTTCTAATTTTTTATCTTTATTATTTTTAGTCAACGTTACAGGGATCAATGTTTATATCTAATCATTTCCTTTGAATAGACTCCTTGAATTAAAATATTAAGAGTTTACAGGAGTGCATATAGGAGCATCAATAGATATTTTCACTCTGTAGCTATAAATTTTTATTTTGAGGGGGCCTGCCCCTTAGCTCAGTTCTTTAAGTGGCTGCTTCAACAGAGCAGTCCGGCTCAGGTTGCTGTGGTTTGATCCCCACAACTCAAGCAGCCAAACCTGCCCTGAAGGCATTTGGAGCAAAAAGAAATATTATTTTGATACTGGTTCTTGCTAATCCAAGGCTGGATTTAATCTATTTATTTACTTACTTGGTACAGGATCTTGCTATGCAGCTTGGACTTGTACTGATCCTTCTGTCTTAGCCTCCCCAGTTCTGGGATTACAGCTGTGTGCCATCATGCCTGGTTTTGGTGGCTGGCACAGCGTGCTGGGAGTTCATGGGTTGGTACAGCATACAGCACAGAGATCAAACCCTGGTCTTTGTGCTTGCCAGGCAGGTGCTTAGACTGACTTACTATTTCTCTAACACACAAGGCTCACTTGAAATATATGAGCTTATTGCCTCAGCTTCTCATAGTGCACAGATTACATGGATGAAGCACCATGTCTGGCACATTGCTATATTTTATTCCTATGCTAGGCTATTTTCCCAGTGTTTTACAGCCTTGTACAGATTTGTTACCTTGTTTTTACCTTTCTTAGGTGGTGGCCGGCTGAGATCTGCCATCCTCGAGCTATTCCTTCCAACATTGATAAAATGCGACATGATGTAGGCGAGTTTCCTGTCCTCTTCTTTGGATCTAATGATTATCTATGGACTCATCAGGCTCGAGTCTTTCCTTACATGGAGGGGGATGTGAGCAGTAAGGATAAGATGGGCAAAGGAGTGGATGGAACATATAAAAAAGGTAACTTTATCTGATTTATTTTTCAGGCCACCACATACCTCTGTTGCCCTACCTGCTGTGGTTAAAATTCATGTGATCCTCCAGTTATCCCTATTTTCTGACCTCAGACAGGGGTGAGGGTAAAGATAACAGATTTTACATGGCAAATGACTCACATAACTAGCTTTTGAACCTAATCTTTTACTTAACTATACAGTTTCTGTGAGGGAGTTTCTTCCTTCCCTTTTCTTTGGTGTGTGTGGGGTTCTTAAAAGTTTTGTTTTCTTAGCATTACATCAAATAATAGAGTTCTATGGGCTGGTGAGATGGCTCAGTGGTCTAAAAGCATCTACTTAGAACAAGCTTAGCAAAGCACAGGGACCACGGTTCAATCCCCCAGCACCACATGCCAGCCAGTCCCACCCCCTGGTGGGCTGAGCTGGCCACACACACACACACACACACACACAAATAAATAAATAAATAAAAACAAATAATAGAGTTCTAGAACTTTTTTATACAATTAATCACTTTGCTAGGCAAGGGCTCAAATGTAGAAAATTTGCATTTGCTCCAGAGAGAGAGAGAGAGAGAGAGAGAGAGAGAGAGAGAGAGAGAGTGAGTTGGTATCAGGAATCGAACTCAAGACCTTGCACTTGCCAGACAGGTGCTTATGCCCCTGATCTGTATCACTGACCCTGTTTGTTTGGTTTTTGAGAAAGGGCCTTTCTATGCAGTTCAAACTGGCCTTGAATTCATAATGTATCCGAGGTGGATCTTGAACCCATGGCAATTCTCTTTTCTCAGTGTGCTCAATGCTTCGATTATAGGCATGTGCTGGGATTACCATGTCTGCTGTTGTTTTTATTTTATTTTTTTAACACCCTTCCCCCACTGTTTTTATTTTTATTTTCTATTTTCTATTTTTTCCGTTGTTTTTAAATATATGGTTTTGGGGAAGAATATTTACAAAAATTGTAAGATCAAATAAAATTATAGGAAATTAAGGGTTGGGTGTTTTTTTTTTTTTTTAGAATGCTTTTCTGAGCAAGATCCCAACAGTGTTTTATTTTTTCTTCTCAACATCCTGCCCTGAGGCTTCCTTGGCTCTCTTCACCCAGATGCCAAAGAGCCGGGCGTTTGCGTGGATCATGTGCAGACTGGCAAATGCCCTGAAATTCTTTTCTTCCTCTGTGGTGACCCTGGCCTTCTCCTTCTTGTAGACATTCCTGATGGGCATCACAGGTCCTGTCAGCTGGGTGGCCAATTTGAGTTCTTAAGCAGAGCTGGCTCCCTTTTTGGAGGCCGATGGCTTCCTGGGGAAGAGGATGAGTTTGGAGCGGTGCTCTTTCAGCCGCTGCACGTTGGCCTGCAGGGACTTGGTGAATTTGTTCCACCCCCTTGTGTCCCCCGAGATGCCAGTGGTCTGGACCACCTTCTTATGAATACCGGCTACCCACAGCTCCTCCAGACTGAAGCCCCTGCTGACTTGGACGTTGGTGTGGTATTGCACCGTGGGACAGCGCACGATGGGCTGGATGGGTCCTGACGTGGGGCGCTTTTGCCTGCCGGACCTTGTGCCTGTGAATCTTCCAAGCTGGCTGATTGAACCACATAGCCACACGCTGCTGCTTGTCCTTGTGGAAGTGGGCCTTCAGAATCATGCCATTCCAGCTGGGCACCATGACTGCCTCTTAGTGCGTGGATTGGCGGAACCAAAAGGCGGGAATTAGGTTTTTGTGACTTGTTCTAGGAGGGAAGTTAGGAAGGATACAGAGGCCTAAGAGCATGTTCCCTTGCCATCAGCAAAGCTACTATTACCCCTTAACCTGGTAGTTGAGTGTACGTCAGGCATTGGCACTTGTTTTTGCCAGCTCAGCCTGCATGTGGTGCTGAGGATCATCAAACCATGGTTCTCTTCGCCTTCCTAAGTTTGCCTAAGCAGACACTTTAGACCGCTGAGCAGTCTCACCAGCCCCCATTGGCACTTTTTAAAAACATATAATGGGAAAAGCTCTGAGAACTCAGTGGATTGCTAAAAACCACAGAGCACATAGTTGATAGTCCGTTAATGGTTAATTTGCTTTTTGCAGCCTTGAATGGTAGTGTATTTCTTACTGTTTGAAAACATTTGTATATTAAAGTTTAAGATTTTGTCTGCATGCTGAAATAGGGATTTTTAACAAATGAAACTTTTGGTGAGGTGATTCAAAATTTCAAGTGGGTGAAAGATCCTTATCTGGAAATGGGAATGATCTTTTTCAGGAACAAGTGAAACAACAGTTGTGTCTTTCTGGGGCCGGGGAGATGGCTCAGTGGAATAAGCGCTTCCTCGGCAAGTGCAAGGGCCTGAGTTCAATCCCCACTTCTGTCATAAATAAATACATAAATAAATAAATTGTATCTTTCTCACATTATTTAGTTATTACAGTGGTCCCTGAGTTAATCCATTTTCCATGTGGTTTCTGTTCAAAGACATGGACTATTCATATTTATTATAAGTGACATAGTTTTATATATATATATATATTTAAATATATATTGATAAATAGACTGTCAGTATTACTGTAGGAGATTAGGTCTTGACTCATATAATCTTATATATTTAGCAACCACATGATCAGCATCTTGGCCACTACCAATGCTGGAGGAGAATACAAGACAGCCATGAGTTTGAACCTGCTGAACTTTTTCATTTCTGTACCTAATTCAGGGAGTGGCTAATTGCCTGTTAGGAACTTGTTTTTGTCTAGTACTGGGAAATCAATCCAGGGCTTACCACTTGCTGGAAAAGAGCTATACCACTATCTATTCTCTCTCTCTCTCTCTCTCTCGCTCTAATTCAGTCAGGCTTCAAGTTGACTGTGTAGCTCAGGCTGGCTTCGGAATTTTTTTAACAGTTTTTCTCCTTCACCCTCTCACATGCTGGGATTATATACATATGCCATGATATTTGGCTTAGAGAAAATTTCTAACCTGGGTTGTTGGAGTTCAGAATTCATATTCTTTATTTTCTGCTGTGATGGAGACATCCTTAAATGTATCTGGAAAACTCAACTTGAATCTAATATGCTGAGTTGAATCTAATATGCAGCCTACTATTATTTGGTTTAGTTTAAACAGGGATAAGGGAACACTGGGCTGGCTGCCTGAAAAAAGAGGTAAGTTACATGTTAAGGACAAAGTTTAGAAACCTTGTTCTGTCATAAGAGTGTCCTGACTGTTAGAAGTTAAGAGACTGCATCTGAGAAGATCACTGAGATGGATGAAGATGAGACTATAGTGGAGTTTTCACATTACAGAGAGGATGCTAGGCACTGGGTGGGCATGAAGAGATAGGCAAGATAGGGAATGCTGAAGAATAGCATGACAGAATGATGAATTTTTGGACATTGTCACAAATTATGTGTAATAGACACAGCTTGGTAAATAGTGACAATGAACAGGAGATGAGTAAGGCAGAGTCCTTTGAAAATTCACAGAGCATTCAGAAAGCAACCATGAAATAAAAAAGGAAAGGGATAACTAGAATTTTGAACCCGGATAAAGAATAATGAATTAGCATTTTGTCTTATGTAGAGAACAAAGTCAAGTCTTACCAGATTTTTTTTGATTTTTCAGATACTATGCCACTTTAAGGGTATGAAACCATAGGATTTGAAGTAAATTAGATATGAGGGGGCCAGCGAGATAGCTCAGTGGTCTTAAAGCACCTGCTTAGGCAACTGCAGGGGAAAAAAAAAGACACAAAGGTCTATGTATAATTAGAACCTATAGTGAATATTTTAAAGGATGAGTATTAGAAGAGTAGTATGGGTACTCTAAAGAATATACAAAGGGAGATAATTTGAATGCCTTCCAAAAATTGCAAGAGTGCCACCTAGGGCAATTGGGAGTAAAAGTGTTTTTGAAAACAGGAGATTAAACACTGAATAAAGAAGTAGGTAGACTTACATAGCTGCGTGTGCTGATGCACTCCTGTAGTTCCAGTATTTGGGCTGAGGCAGGAGGATTACAGGGTATTTGAGGCCAGCCTTGGCTATAATAGTGAGTTGAAAGCCAGCCTGTACTACCAAAAAAAAAAAAAAGGAGCTAGGCTTAAGCCCAACGACTTTGCTAAACAAATGAAATCTGTTTTGTTTGTTTTTGTTGTGTCAAGGATCAACTCGAGGTTCTTACATATGCTAGGCAAATACTTCAGTGGTTTCATCCTAATCCTGAAGTCTATTAGGTGATGATTCTTCATGTCATTAACCTGTACTTTGTGTTCCTTTTTTTTTTTCCATCTCAAAGTGGTAATTTGTAGTGTACCATTTCAAAATGGTCTGAGTACTCTGGGATCTTTTAAATCTGTCTGTTGTACATATTACTGTTTTTGTGTTGTATTGGTTGCTTTTTGTCTGAAATAATAGACTTTACCTAATGTAATGAAGCAGAAATGCAAAATAATCCCATCTATATAGAGATTTTTAAGTAACTTGTGCCTTGTGTTTTCTTAGCTCTTCAGGAAGCTGCAGCAAGATTTGAGGAGTTAAAGGCACAAAAAGAGCTAAGACAGCTGCAGGAAGATAGAAAAAATGACAAGAAGCCACCACCTTATAAACATATAAAGGTGAGAAAATTTGAGACACTGTCTCTGGGAGGGAAACTGTACAGCTTTCATTTCTCCCTATTCTGCTCAGAATTAGAAGCATAAGCACAGGTCCTCTGAGACAGAGTTAGGACCTTAAAAGAGGGAAAAAAACAGTATTAGAATACCATTTCTACCATATTATGTTCACTTCCAGAAGTCAGCTGAGCATTGAAACTTTTTTTCCTGTTGACCTTGAAAAATTGTCTCATGTAAAAAGGTTAAGTTGTTGCAGTAAACATTTTCATGTTGTATGGGACCAAAAGGAAAGGCCATGATGAAAAGTGATAAAATGGTCCTGAAAGATTGTGAAAAATATACATGGTAAATCTGTTTGGTAATGACTGATGCTGAATATATTTTAGGTGACACGAGTGGAAGGACAGTCTGGGCTACTCAAAAAAAAAAGTTATGTTCATGTAGTTCTGGTGTCAGGTAACCATAGTGTAGGTATTTCAAAGTAGCACATCAACCATATTGAGCGTAGGGAATGAGGAACCAATTGTCCCTTAGTAATCTCATTTCAGGATTTACATGCCAACTCCTACTGTGTCCTTTTTTTCCCATTATCCCCATACTGAGGATTGAGCCTAGATAGGCAAGTACTCTAAATGAACTACATTTTTGGCCCTTTTGTGTTTTGAGACACGGCATCTCTAATTTCCCAAGGCTGGCCTTGATCATCTTGATACTATTACTTCCTTCATCCTTCTGGGTAGCTGGAATTATAGGTGTGTACCATACTCCCAGCTTCTGTTTTTTCCATAATTTTTCAGGAAAATATCTATAAAGACTTGACAAATTCCTTCATCAGCTAGATCCTGTAGAGTGCCCATTATGTTAGGCTTGTGAGCTAGTAATTTTTTTTTTTTTTTTTTAACATCTTAAAAAGTTTTTTTAGGGCCAGGGATATATTTTAGTGACATAACCACCTGCCTGGCGAGCACTAAGGTCTCAGGTTGAATTCCCAGTACAAAAAAAAAAAAAAAAAAGAAAGTAAGAAAGAAAGAAAAAGAAAAGAAAAGAAAAGAAAAAAAAAAAAAAAAAATTGATATGGTGGGGTAGTGCAGCACCTTAACACAGGCACATCATCAGCCATTTTATTTTATTTTATTTTATTTTACTATATTTTAATTTGCGTTACAGTTTTGCTAAGTTTACTTGTCTGGCATTGAGTTGGTCATCCTCCTGCATTACCATTGTTGAGTTATGGTTCTGACATATTTTAACCACTTAAAGGTTTACCACAAATGTCACTTGGGCAGTGCATTTGCTTACATTTTGACTATTCCAAGCATTGCTTCAGTGTCATTTCAGCCAGTTGATTCTTGTATTGAATAAATTTGATAAAATTGTTGTATACTTATTTCTTATTGCCTTACAGAAAACCAAAACAATCCTAGTTTTGATCATCCTTATTTAAATAATTGAACTCATAATAATTGGTTGGAAGGAAAAGAATATTACATGACATGAAGATTATGTACAACTTTTAGTATCTATAAATAATGTTCTGAGCCACAGAGATAGCTCAGTGGTCTAAGCACCTGCCTAGGAAAGCACTAGGACCTGGGTTCAATCCCTGGTACCACATGCCATATCGGCCACCAAGACCAGGTGTGTTGGTGCACGCCTATAATCCCAGCACTGGGGAGCCTGAAACAGGAGAATCACTATTAGTCCGAGCTATGTAATGAGACCCTGTACCAAATGCTTAAAAAATTTTAGAAAAGAAATAATGTTGTATTGGAACATAGTCATCCTGTTATATTTTTATACATTTTCTTCGGCTACTTTCATACCACAGTGGCTGAATTGTGTTATACATGTCAGAAATCAGACTTACCTGCATAGCCTGAATTTAACTCTTTAGCTCTTTAGAGAAAGAGCTTGTAATCTCTTGATCTTTAGTATGTTTACACAAAACTGTATAGCTATATGTTTGTTTATGTTGTTGTAACTAGCATTTAGAAATGGTCAGCATACACCCTGGTTATGCTTCCCCCTCGCAAACTATGTGTCAGAGAAGAAAAATGACTTAGTCTTACCACAGGGTGGGTTTTCTACTATGGCCTAAGTAGATTACCTACAACCCTTACGCCTCACCCCAGCATCCCATGCCCTCCTCCCTCTCATCTGAACCTGGTGACACCTGCCCCCAGGATCATCTTCCTTGAGGCCCAGGAACCCAGCACAGAGCCCACCCTCAGAACCACAGAGTAACACCTCGGCCCACTAGGTTGCCCCTCAGCCCAGACGTGTCTGGGGTTGAAGCCCAGTGCTATGCACACATCTGATCACTTGGCAACCCTCTCAGCTTTTCTCCCTTACCACCGGTCTTTCAGAAAGCAAACTGTTCAAATGGTGGTCTGCTGCCACCACCACCTCCTTCTGCTCCCCATTTTTCTCTCCTTCCTCCCCCTCCTTACCATATTACCAGCAATATTTATTTTTAACAATGTGATTTTCCTTTTTGGTTTTTGCTTTTTTCCTTGTGATGTGTTAGGCAAGAAATTTGAGATTAGGAATAGGTTCAATTACTTGTTAGGATTGAATGATTTAATGTATATGAAGTGTGCTTTAAATAAATATATGGTGAATGCTCAAATTTTTTAAATTTGCTGAATGCAGTGGTCCATACTTGTAACATCAGCACTTGGGTGGCCGAGACAGAAGAATAGCCTTAAATTCAAGGCCAGCCTGGGCTACATCAGGTGATCTTGTCTCAAAAGGAAGTAAAATGGGGCTGGGGAGATTGGTTGGTGGTCTAAGCACCTGCCTGGCAAGTGCAAGGACCCAAGTTTGATTTCCAGTACCTGTTCCAGATGTCGTGCCAGCCTTTGAAACTGGGCATAGTGGCTCATGCCTGTAATCCTTATGCTGGGGAGGCTGAGACAGGAGAATCACTACAAGTCTGAACTGTATAGCAAGACCATGTATCAAACAAACGAATAAATACATTTTCTTAAAAAGGAAGTGTTATAAATTTTTAAAATTAGTTACAGCCAGGCCTGGGTTCAGGTGGTACATTCCTGTAATCCCAGCACTCAGGAGGCTAAGACTGGAGGATCACCATGAGTTTAGGCTAGTCTCAGCTATTTAACAAGTTTAACACCAGCCTGGGTAGCTCTGATTTGATTTGAATATTTCCACTATCTTGAACTACTGGTAGTATGTGTATGGCTGTCCCATCCAGCAGTTTGTACCACTTTTTCTGGGGTCTTTGATTAGGGTAATACAAATAAAGTTTTTGATTTAGCAACCAGATATTACAGTTTCTTAAGGAAAATGTATTTTTAAAAAATTACTGTTTTGTGATTTAGCAGCTTTAAATGTATATTATATACACCAGGAATAGGATAGTTACAAGATATTCTTTTCAAAATTTATAGAATTTTTAAACTTCGTGAATATAAATGAATTTTTTTAATGAAATAAATTTTTAAATTACTGTTTTTTAAAATTGTTATGAGTACTATTAATATTTATATTTGGGCAGCAATCAAATTCCAGTGACTAGATTTGATATATTTATAGGTATATATTTGATATACTTGTTATTAATAAGTAAAATGATTAATAAAGATTATTAGAACTATTGTACTACCAGTAGTTTAAGCCACCCAATAGGACAGTCGTGCATCTTACCACTGGCAGTTCAAGCTAATGGGTCAGTCCCCTTCAAATGTTCCCCCTTATTTTGAATACATTTATCCCATGATCCTTGTTACTTTGTGAAGCAGTCTTAGAAGTCCTTTTTAGTGAGGATGTTTAGGAGGTATAATAAAAAATCCAGTGAGTGCTGCTGTTGTATGTCATCTGGTGGAAACGCAGGGAGATAAACACGTTTTCTAGTTCATTCACCAGATCTGATTCCATGCAACTTCCAGGTTTTCCCTAATGTCAACATGACCATTAAAGACAACTGTTTTTGAATCGATTCAGGACATCAAAGCAACTACAATAGTATAACAAAGGACTCAGAATGAGGAGTTCCAGAACTTCTTCACAATGTGGCAAGAATGGTGGGAAAAGTATGTTTTAAAAAAGGTGGAATGTTTCAAGGGAGATTAGGGACAATGTATATTTTAGTGTAACAAACTTTTAAATTCTTAAATTTTAAAAATTCATGTGTCATATCATGTACATATGTAGAGAGATTAAAAGTAAGGGGAAATACCTTGAGGATGCAGAGATCAGGTAAAGAACTCATAGTCACAATAGACACACCAGTTCCCTATTTAATACCTGTAGTCATGGGTAACTGAACTCAGCTATTGTCTTCTGTTTCCTCAGAACTTGCCCGACTCACTAGGTTTGTGGCTTCCACTTGCTTGTGGTGAGTGTAATTTCTCCACTAATAAAATCTACAGTTTTAACCCATATTTTGAGGAGTCTAGGGACAGATTTGTCAGTGAGAGTAATGTCCTTTTTAGTTCTAGAATAAGCTTGTCCAACTGCAGGGCATTAATCACATTTGGCCCGAGAAAGCCGGATGTATAGCTCCACAAGATAGTAAAGAAAACTTTATTTTATGATTTTTAGTGATATGTTTCATTAGTGCTGGAAAATGTATTTCATAGGCAAGAAAAGAATGATATAGGGCTGGAGAGATGGCTCAGTGGTCTAAAGCACCTACTTGAAACAAGCTTGGCAAAGCACAGGGACCGCGGTTCAATCCTCCAGCACCACATGCCAGCCAGCCCCGCACCCTGGTGGGCTGAGCTGGCCACACACACACACACACACACACACACACAATAAATAAATGTAATAAATAAAAATAAATAAATAAATAAATTTTAAAAAAAGAATGCTATAAGGGAGGAGGACATGGTGCTAGAACTGCCTCATGAGCCTATTACACAGTCAAATAGAAATCTGTATATGCTCTTGTACAAGTTGGGGAATAAAATCTAGTAGTTACTATTAATAGTACTTCAACCTACCTATACATGTGTATGTGAAGATAGGTGTTTATTGTTATCAAGCAGACATGTAAGTATTCTCATTTAATTATCAAACTTGAATTTGTTGAACCAAGAATGATTATACATAGTTGTAATCCCACCATTTGACAAACAGGCAGAAACTTGAGTTCAGTCTGGTCTATGCAGTTACAATATTTCAAAAACAGAAAATTTAAAAAATCAACCTACCTACCTACCTACCTTCAAACCAATGAAGGAAGGAAGGTAGGTAGGTAGGTAGGTTGATTTTATTGATTATATACACTAATAGCAATCTTCCTGCCTCGGTCTCCTGACTGTTGGAATTACCTTCGTGTTCCACCATATCTGACTACTTTATTTATGGGTACTGGGTACTAAATCCAGGGCATCACATTCTAGGCAAATGCTCTCCCACTGAGTCATATCCCTAGTCAAATAATAGTCCTCTTAGGTTGACTAGAATTTATAATCTAGAATGTGTGGTATGACGAATAATTATAAGGTGACATAACAAAGAAATTATGATATTTATCATGTTTAAGAGGCTATTTATTAGGAGGGCCAGGGAGATGGCTCAGTAGAATAAGCGCTTCCCTGGCAAGCACAAAGGTCTGAGTTCAATCCCTGGTTCTGCAAAAAAAAAAAGAAAAAGATGCTATTGGGTTTTGTGATAGCATACACATTATTAGAATATTCTTTAAAGTAAATTTATCGGCTGGGGGGATGGCTCAGTAGAATAAGTGCTTCCCTGGCAAGTGCAAGGGCCTGAGTTCAATTCCCAGTTCTAGAAATCAATCAGTCAGTGAATCAATCAATCGGGGCCAGGGAGATGCCTCAGTAGAAGAAGCACCACCAAAAGTAGAAGAAGTTCCACCAAAAGAAAAGTAAATTTATCTAAAATCCACAATTTCTAATCAAATTTTATTTATGTGCTGTCTTTTGAAGACTTAACTTTTTTCTCACAGCAGTGACAGTGCGCCCATTTTTTTCTTTGTAGTATTTCTAAAGTCTTCTGAAAAAATCACATGAATAAGAAAAGAGTAGTGTTGGTATCTTTTTTTTTTTTTTTTTAAATATATTTTGTATAGGGTCTCACTACATAGCTTGGACTCTTTAGTGATCCTCCTGATTTCAGCCTCCCCAGCGCTGGGATTACAGGTGTGAGCCATAACACCCAGTCTTGGTAGCTAGCTTAGCACACCTGGGGTTGGGGCCAGTGCAGCATGTGGTTCTGGGAATTGAACTCAGTCCCTGCGCTTGCCTAAGCAGGCTGCTGAGGTATCTCACTGATAGTGTTAGTATCTTTGACCTTGAGTTTTATATCATTAGATTTTCACTGCTCTTCAGTGTTAGTCCTGCTACTGCATAAATGATATGAATGGTATAGTTATGGTTCTTCTAAAAGATTTCAAGGTATGATGATAGATATTAAAATCCATCTTCACAAATAGGATCCCAAATTACCCAAGGATATTTTTATGCTATTACAAGATTTGCATTTAAGAATAGTAGATATTCAGATGGATGTGATATTGTATGCCTGTCATTTCAGCATTTGGGAAGGAGGCTAAGGCAGCAGGATAATAATTTTGAGCATGGCCTGTGTTACTTGGCAACTTACACTCTGTCTCAAAAAAAAAAAAAAAGATAAGCTGGAGATGTAGCTCTGTGCAAAAGCCCCAGTGGTTTGTTTTTTTAAATGGTTATTTTGTATGTTAACTAAAGTGTTGAGGCAAGGGAGATAGCTCAAGCTCGGTGGCATAAACTCCTGCCTGGCAAGCGCAAGGTCCTGAATTCGATCCCTGTAACCTAAATAAATAGTGTTGCCACCATGTGGCAGTAACAAAAACCTGTTGCTCTATTTACTTGTCCTACTAACTGAAATTTATTCTTTTCTAGGTTTTTAAATATTTTGTGAGCCAGCCACCATTATAGGTAGTATATGCCTATAATCCCAGCACTCAGGATGCTGAGACAGGAGGATCACTATGTTCAAGGCCAGCTTGGACTATATAGCAAAACCTTGTCTCAACATAAGCAAAACAATATTGGTGAAATTCACCCTTTTGGGGAGGGAGGGCTTCCCTACTCTAGGCACTGTCTCTAGTGCTGAGCAGCATTATATCCCATCCTTTTTATCCTTTAGGCAGGGTTTTACTGAATTGCTTGGGCTGATCTTCAATTTATGATCTTCCTGCTTCAGCTTCCCAAGTAGCTGGGATTCCCAAGTAGCTGGGATTCCCAAGTAGCTTCAGCTTCCCAAGTGCTTTGATGTTCAGTTGAGATTCATATGTTATATATCATGTCAGGATTTATTTTTAGTGAATCTGCCTAAATCTTTTATTTAAAAAAAAAATTTTATTAGTACAGGGTGTATAGGGTCTCACTATGTAGATCAGACTCACAGTGATTCTCCTGTTTGCAGCCTTCCAAGTGCTGGGGTTATAGGCAGGCACCACCATGCCTAGTCTGAATTGCCATCTCAGCGTGCCTCGGGCAGGGCCGGCATAGCATGCCAGGGATCGAACCTTGGCGACTGTGCTCTGCCTGAGCAGGTGTGTTAGTCCGCTGAGCTATCTGCCAGCCCTCTCTCCTTAAATCTTGATTGAGATTATGTAAAATGGGACATAATGCACCCCCCCCCAAAATTCGCATATTACAGGTCCTGACTTGTCTTAAGTTGCCTGATGTACAATATTGTATGCTGTTTTCCAGGTGAACCGTCCTATTGGCAGGGTACAGATCTTCACTGCAGACTTATCAGAAATTCCCCGTTGCAACTGTAAAGCTACTGATGAAAACCCTTGTGGGATAGACTCTGAGTGCATCAATCGCATGCTGCTATATGAGTGTCACCCGACAGTATGTCCTGCTGGAGGCCGCTGTCAAAATCAGTGTTTCAGCAAGCGCCAGTATCCAGAGGTTGAAATTTTCCGCACATTGCAGAGGGGCTGGGGTCTAAGGACAAAATCAGATATTAAAAAGGTGATGAAAACTCTTCTTCATTATCAAATTATTTTCATTCTATAAAATTATTTAGTTCTTGATAAATATGAGAATGTTCGTCATAGAGGGAGGGCTTAATTTTAGTGTTTTATCATCTCATTCGTTCTGTTTAGATGATAAAGAATGGCTTTCTTCTCTATGTACTTATCTTTTTCACTATGCAGAATGGAAAAACAAAATCTCAGACTGTCACATTATCTTTTGTAAAAAGTCTTGTAAAGAGGAGATGATAAGCACACAGTAAAGAGGTGTTAGTCTTTTTTTTTTTTTTTTTTTAAGGGAGGAAAAGGTTCATTTAGCTAACAGTTTGTAGAGGTTTCAGTCCATAATCAGCTGGCTCCAAGGCAGGTTTTCATAGTAGAGAGACAATAGTTCATGGTGGCAGAAGACAACTTGAACAACAAGAGCAAAAGAGGAAAGAAAGCATTAGTAATTTTTTTTTTTTTTAAATATTTTATTTAGGGGCTGGAGAGATGGCTCAGTGGTCTAAAGCACCTACTTGGAACAGGCTTGGCAAAGCACAGGGACCGCGGTTCAATCCCCCAGCACCACATGCCAGCCAGCCCTGCCCCCTGGTGGGCTGAGCTGGCCACACTCTCTCTCTCTCTCTCTCTCTCTCTCTCTCTCTCTCTCTCTCTCTCTCTCAAATAAATAAAAAAAATTAAAATAAATAAATAAATAAATAAATATTTTATTTATGTGTGTGTGTGGCCAGCTCAGCCCACCAGGGGGCGGGGCTGGCTGGCATGTGGTGCTGGGGGATTGAACCGCGGTCCCTGTGCTTTGCTAAGCTTGTTCTAAGTAGGTGCTTTAGACCACTGAGCCATCTCACCAGCCCCCAGTAATTTTTTGATAAAATATTATAGTGGGGTAAAAACAGTCGGGTTCATACAATATGAAGGGAAAGAGAGGTTTCTTCCAATGGAAAAGCATTGAAATCTTCAAGTAGAACTTTCCGAGCTTTATAAGTTTTTGACAATATTATACAGTTTTAGTGTAATATGAATTGTATTTGACATTTTAATAAAATAAGTTTTATTCTGCCTACAACTTCTGAAGAATTTAGTTGATGTTTCTTTTTTGAAAAGACAGTAAATTACATAGGCTTGTTTAGTTACTTGCCAAGTAATCATTACATATTCAGAGTTTGGACATTGTGGTAGATGCAATGATTAAGATGGGATATATGGGTCCTGCTTTCATGAAATTTACATTTAGAGGTAGAGAGAGACAGAAAAAAAAAATCACTCTATGTTTTAGTCCAGTGCTCTGAGGTCATGTGATACAGAACCTGAAAGTAAGTAGTTTTGCTTTGAGAATGTATTCAGACTTTGAAGATGAGTGCTTGTTGGCTTGGGCAAGGCAGAGTATAGTATATCAAGGACAGTAGTGTGAACTGCAGTAGGGTATTAGGTGGGGTGAGCTCCAAGGAAGATGAACATACTTTTTTTTTTTTAAGATGAACATGCTTTAAGGAAATTGACTTTCTTACACTTGAACTTGGTTCTATATTGACTGTTACCTCCTTTATGAGGAAGCTACAGTTTACTTCAAGTATTCTATTCTGGTAGATCCATAGTGCCCAGTTTCTTTTTCTGCTGGTGTCTATGGTAAAGGATAATTTTCACTAGTAAATAGTTGAGGCATCATAAATTAACTAATTGCATGTAGATAAATTGATTTAGAGAACCACGTATCTTCATTAGTTTCTAAATCCATGTAAATATCTATGTGCTTTTCTCATTAAGTCTGGAATTTTTCTTGTTTTAGGGTGAATTTGTGAATGAATATGTGGGTGAACTAATAGATGAAGAAGAATGCAGAGCCCGAATCCGTTATGCCCAAGAACATGATATCACTAATTTCTATATGCTCACCTTAGATAAAGTAAGTTAATGGATCATGTTGCCACTGAGTTAATATGGTGAATTTTGTATTATCTCCACTAGTGTTTGTAGGTATAATATGTAAATTGTACACTTGGCCTGAGTCATTTTTTTTCCATGTTTATGGGAATTATTTGATATGGGTTCTAGATTGTCCAAGCATGTTTCTGACCAAAATCAATAAAGCTGCCTTTACTTTTTTTTTTTACTCCCACTTTAGTGCTGGAGATTGAATCCAGGGTCTTTGTACTGAGCATTCAGCAATCTGGGAGCCTGTGACAGAAGGATCATAAAATTGTGGCCAGCTTACAGTCTGATCCTACCTCAGAATAATAAATTGTACAAGGATTGGGAATGGACCTTAATGCAAAGCCTCAGCATTCAGTGCCCACTCTCCCCTAGCCCATGTAAAAAGAAGCTTAAGTCATTGTGACAGTTGTAAGAATTTTCTCATGAGTTTCATTTTTTGATACCTAGAATTCTGCATTTGCATTTATTTTAAATTTCAGCTGGGGATATAGCTCAATGGCTTAAGTGCCTGCCTGGCAAGCGCAAGTTCCATGTTGGATCCCTGGTACCAAAAATAAATAAATTTCAATACTCTAGTGTTTATTTTCTTTGTACTTGCACTTTAAGTTACACTAATTTCATTGTACATTTTTGGTTTTTTTGAGACAGGTTCTCACTATGTAGTTCAGACTAACCTTCAACTCACTTTTTAATTTTTTTATTTTTATTTTTGGCAGAACCGGGGATTGAACTCAGGCCCTTGCATTTGCCAGGAAAGCGCTTATTCCACTGAGCCATCTCCCCGGTCCCTCAACTCACTTTTTAGTCCAAGCTAAATCAGGGCCTGAAATCAGGGCACTCTTCCTGCTGCAACTTCCTACATGCTGGAATTACAGATGTGTATAACTTTTTTCTGTCTTTAATATCTTTTTTCTAGTATTCGTTTTTTTCTGTCTTATTGTATTTGGTACAGGGTCTCACTACGCAGCTTGCACTTGTAGTGATCCTCCTATTTTCTGCCTCCCCAGCATGTGTCACCACACCTGGTCTCTGGCCAGCTCAGCACACTCAGGGGCAGGGCTGGCATGACATGTGGTTCTCGGGATTGAATCCTGGTCCCTGCGCTTGCCTAAGCAGGTGCTTAGTCTACTGAGCTATCTCAGCAGCCTGCTAGTAGTTGTTTTACTTAAGTTGTACTTTTATGATGAATGAGATCTGTGCATCTAGATATTTTCACTATAGTTTAGGAAAAGAAATTGGTATCTATGTGTACGTGTGTGTAATTATTCACGCAGGGTCTTAGCATGTAGTCGGACTTGTTTGTACTCACTGTGTAGCCCAGGCTGGCCTGGAAATTGAAGTGATCCTCCTATCTCTGCCTCCTGAGTGCTAGGATTATAGGCCATATCACCTGGTTTTGTATCAGTATTAAAATCTCATTGGATTTCTTTGTTTTGTTGGTTGATTTTTGAAGTTGCAAGGGGGTTGGTTCTTGGAATTGAACACAGGGCCTTCAAACTGAACTACATTCCCACTTTTTTTATTTTGAAGTAGGGTCTTCCTAAATTTTGTAGGAAATACTTGAACTTTCATTGTTGTTGCCTCAGCCCCTCAGAATACTAGAGCTACATGGATGTGCTATCGTACCCAGCTGTGTACCTGTTTTGAGAACGTAAGAATGGGGAGCTTGCTGCTTCCAAAGGCATTCATACTTAAATGTAGGTGTATATCATGAGAGTTCTCTGGTGGACTTAGTACAATTCAGATTACTGAGCCCTATCACACAATTTCTGCTTTAGAATATCTGAAGCACAACCCAAGAATTTGTATTTCTAATAACCTTCCAGAGATAGGTAGTTGTTGCTGTTGGTCCATGTGCTACACTTTCAGAACCACAACTTTGGAAGGTTCAAAGTTTTATTAAAGTTACTTCTATTAAAGTAACTTTACTCAGTAACAGAAGTTGCAGGAAGTCTGACAAACATCTTTATCTTGGAATTCTAGGACCGAATCATTGATGCTGGTCCCAAAGGAAACTATGCTCGGTTTATGAATCATTGCTGCCAGCCCAACTGTGAAACACAGAAGTGGTCTGTGAATGGAGATACCCGTGTTGGACTTTTTGCTCTGAGTGACATTAAAGCAGGTAAGAGTTAATGAGAGATTCTGGAACTTGAATTATTGATTCTCTCACCAAAAATTCACACATGTCCTGCAATCAAAAATGAAGATTCTGGGCTGGCCAAATAGCTCAGCGGATTAAAGCACCTGCAAGCAGGTGCAGGGGTTGTAGGTTTGATCCCTGGCCTGCCCTGCCAGTGCCACCCCCAGGGCATGCTGAGAGGTGATTGAGACTGAGCATGGTGGCATGTGCCTGTAATCCCAGCTCTTGGGAGGCTGTAAAACAGGTGGATCAGGATCACTCAGAGTCTTATTTAGTAGTGAGACCCAGAACACCCTGTAGACCCTTCCCTAAAATACAAAAAAAAAGAAGATTCCAAATTCCTAAGCATACCTAAAGGCTTGCGAATTGATACTTGGTCATAGTGACAAAATAGGTATAAAATTTATGCTTTTTTCTCCCCAATACTGAGGATTAAAAATGAGGACTAAAAAAAAAAAAAAGGACTTTTCACAAAACCACAACCCCAACCCTCTTTCTTTCTTTATTTTTTAAATTTTGAGACAAGCTCTCTCTAGGGGCCGGAGAGATGGCTCAGTGGAATAAGTGCTTCCCTGGCAAGTGCAAGGGCCCGAGTTCAATCCTCGGTTCCACAAAAAAAAAAAAAAAAAAAAAAAAAAACCAGCTCTCTATACTGCACAGATAGGACTTAAGTTTGTTATCCTCCTCCCTCCGTTTCCCATAATGGTGAGATTACAAACATGTACTACCAGATGGGTAAAAATGTATACTTTATCCATTTTTTAAGATTTACAATTTTAATATATTAAGTACACTCACAGTGTTGTACATCTATTATCCCCCACCCAAATGTGAAACTCTTATCTTCTCCAACTAACACTCTGCTCTTGCGTTCATTATTTTATGTCTGAATTTGACTACTAACTTCATATAAACAGAATCATACAGTACACTGGTACTGTTCACAACCTTAAGAGACCTCTATGATTTTTGGAAAAGATGGTCACGTTTGTGTGGGGAAAGATGGCTAGAGTTGTGTTTGTCACCAAATGCAGGCTTTGCAAACAAAACTGTGGAATGCTTCTGTTTGTAAACCAAAGCATTAGTGAATATCACTTTATGTTTGTCTGTTTGTGACTTTTATTTCCCCAAGATGGTATATTCAAGTTTGAACATGGGTAGTTTTAGGGGAGTACATTCTTAGATCTTTTAATTTTGATATGAACTCATCACAGATTGCTCTACCTTTGAAATTCCCACCTCTCCAGGTCTCCCCTGGGACTTTCTCTTCCATAGTTGACTTATTCTGGTTTTTCCCTCTATACAAACCCAAAATTTACCTTTAGCTCAAATTAAAAAATAAATTTTTCTGGGCTGGGAATATAGCCCCACTGCATAGCACCTGTCTGGCAAGTGTGAGGTCCTGCATTCAGTTCTAGGTTCAGTCAGATGTTCAGTAGTCTTGTAGGCTTTTCACAATTTTCAAGGTTTTGACAATTCTTAAATTTAAAAAAACAGCCATACTCACTAGTCCCTCTTTTTCTTCTTCATCTTTTTTTTTTTTTTTTTTTTTTGTTTAGCAATTTGCTTTATGTAAAGTACTAAATGATTCAGGTAACAGTACTTAAGCATGACTATGTGCTATAGTTTGCTCACGTACTTGGTACTTTTTAAGTGTTAGCTGGTTTTGGTTTTTGAGGCAGTTACACTATATACCCAAGGCTGGCTTTAAGAGCGTATAGTGGTCTTCCTACCTCAGCTTTCTAGTGCTGGGATTATAGGAATGAGCCACCAGCCTCAGCTGTTACTATCTTTGTTTGGTACTAGGAATTGAATCTGTGCATTTATAAAGTGGGCTTCTTAGCATTCAGATCATTCAACTAGGTTGTGGCATAACGTGATGTGTTTACTCTGTCCTAACACTCTTTAGTATTATTGTTTTTCCCATGAAAGCTGCTGGGTAAGGTATGCTCACCTGGGAGCTGTTAGCAGGTTTTCTTCATACTTGTATTACAAGTACTTGAAACACTCATACAGAATGCGTGTGTGTGTGTGTGTGTGTTTGATTTGGTTTTAACATATTTTGGAGGGTTGCTAAATAAATGAGAAAAATAATACCTCTATAGTAGGGTTATTTTGAATATTACTATTAAGCTATTGAAGCTCCATATAAATACCTGATAGTTACATGGTTGAACTATTAATTTGGGATTGGAGTTAATATGTTCTATTTCTTTCTAAAACTATTCTTTCAGAAGTTAATATCCTTTGTTATTAATGAGGAAGTAATGTCATTAAAACCGTAGATATTAATATTTTCATGGTCTCTTATGCAGGCACTGAACTTACTTTCAATTACAACCTAGAATGTCTTGGGAATGGAAAAACTGTTTGCAAATGTGGAGCTCCAAACTGCAGTGGCTTCTTGGGTGTCAGACCAAAGGTATTACCTTCTAGACTTTTACATTGGGAACAATGATGTGGTTTTCTTTTTTTCAATGTTAGAGCTGGATCTTTATTTTAACACAGCATTCTTTTAGCCAGGTGTGGTAGTGCACGCTTGCTATCCCAGAAACTTGGGAGGTTGAGGCAAGAGGATCACCATGAGTTTGAGGCCACCCTGGGCTACATAGTGAATTAAAGGCCAGCCTGTACTGTATAGCAAGACCCTGTCTCCAAAAAAAAGGGAAAAGAAAATATCTCTTTAAAATAATATCAAATTGGTGTGGTTTTGTTATTCAGAGGAAGATTTTGGTGTACTCCTGAAGTGTTCAGTCTTTAATTTTGCTAAAAAAAAAAAAAAAAAAAAAATTTGTAAATTAGTAACTATAAATGGGTTACTTCTCACAGCTTCATTGGTCTCAGTTTATGTTACATCTCTTCAGGTGCTTTTAAGGTCATAAGTATGTTTGTATATCTTTTTTCTGTTTGTAAATATCTATAGCTGACTTTAAGATTCTTAATATCACAGTATGATACTTTAAAAAATCAGTACCTGCCCATGGGGGAAAATAAATGAAAAGGGAGGATACTGCTCCTAGCATTGTAACAAAGTATAACCATTATTGGGTCTCCCTGTTTTCGTGTTTTTAATACAGGGTCTCACTATACAGATCAGACTTGTAGTGATCCTCTTGTTTTCAGCCTCCTCCTAAGCACTGGGATTACAGGCACGTTCCACTTTGCCCAGTCTCATTCCATGTCTCAGTGCCCCAGCACTTGGCACGGCATGCACTGGTCCCTGTACCTGCCTAAGCAGCACTTTAGTCTGCTGAGGTATCCAGCTGGCTCTCTCTGGTTTTCTTTTCTTTTTTTCTTTTTTTTTTTTTTTTTTCAAAAAAAAGAAAAAGAAAAAGGTCTCACCATGTAATTTAGGCAAGCTTTGAACTCACTGTATAACCCAGGTTGGCTTCAGACTTGTGGCAATCCTCCTGCCTCAGCCTCCCAAGAGCTGGGATTACAGTCTAGCACCACCTCATCTGGCCTTCCTGGTTTTCTTATATGGAGTTTAGCTTATGAATTCTATTTAACTGTTAGATAAATTTATACACCTTTATTTTGCTTTTCTTTAGTGTTACATAAAAACTTTGTATGGTGGATGTGGTGGTGCCTGTGTATAATCTCAGCACTTTGGAGACTGAGGTGTGATGACAACTGAGTTCAAAGCCAGCCTGAACTACACAGTCAGACCTTGTCTCTAAAACAAAACAGAACAAAAGCTTTCCATTGTGTAGTCCTCTTAAACATGATTTTTAGTGGTAAGATTTTTTAAAAATTTTATTGAGAAACTGCAATGAGACAGTTTTCAAAACCGATTAATAGGACAGTTTCAATAATTAATACATTGCATATTGTTATCTTCTTAGTGGTTATTCATAGTGCAAGATGCATACATAATATCCTGTCCAAATACTATTAGTACAAATCTTCTCATTGAATTAAGAGAAAGTAGCTATATATCTATCCTATTTATTTGTATAAAGAGATATAAAATGGCCCTTCCTTTGTATCCTCTTTTTTGGTTTAGTTTTGTTAGAGATGGGTATTCCATTGCCATTTAAATATTGTAGGTGCGTGAATTCAGTTTTCTTTTTTTTTTTTTTTTGGCGGAACCAGGGATTGAACTCAGGCCCTTGTGCTTGCCAGGGAAGCGCTTATACCACTGAGCCATCTCCCCAGTCAGGTGTGTGAATTCAGCAAAATAATCCAATATAGTCCAGTATTCCATAATAGTAGTGGGTTATCCATAGGACTAGCAGTGTCAGAAGTTGTTGACTTAGTGGTAAGATTTTTTTATGAAAAGTACTGACCATAAATTAGGTACCTCTGGGTGTTTCAGGATTTCTCTACCGTAGGTAATGTGCATTGAATTTAGGTTTAATGTTGATAGAAAGTGGGGCTGGCTGCGGTGGAACATGCCTATAATCTTAGGACTGGAGGGGCTGAGGCAGAGACATCCTCACAAGTTCAAGGCCAGACTAAATTACAAAGCAGGGGGCTGGTGAGGTGGCTCAGTGGTCTAAAGCACCTACTTAGAACAAGCTAAGGTAAGCAAAGCACAGGGACCGCGGTTCAATCCCCCAGCACCACATGACAGCCAGCCCCATCCCCTGGTGGGCTGAGCTGGCCACACACACACAAAACAAATAAACAAACAAACAAACAAATAAATAAATAAATAAATGTTTTTAAAAAAGATTATGTAAAACATTAAAAAAAATAAATTACAAAGCAGGACTTTGTCCTTTAAAAAAAATGGCTGGCCAGATAGCTCAGCTGATTAAAGCACCTACTTAGGCAGACTCAGAGACTGGAGTTCGATCCCCAGCATGCAGTGCCAGCCCACCTCTGGGCTGTGCTGAGACAGTGATTGAGATTGGGCGTGGTGGCGCACACCTGGAATCCCAGCATTTGGGAGGCTGAAAACAGGAGGATCACTGTGACTTTGATCTGTGTAGGGAGACCCTGTAGACCCTATACTAAATACATTAAAAAAAATAAACGAACAGATAACTCTTAATTGGGTATTTCCTGTTTTGTATTTTGTCTCTTAATCTCAACATTATAGTGACAGTTAAATATAAAATAACCAAGTATTGTATTTTTTCATTAATTTGGCCCGGGGAGATGGCTCAGTGGAATAAGCGCTTCCCTGGCAAGCGCAAGGACCTGAGTTCAGTCCCCGGTTCTACAAACAAACAAAACAAACAAACATTAATTTTTAAAAGACAATATAACAGGAACAATATAATCGACAATTTCATTCAATTTATTGACTTTGTATGGTAGATCTTTTTTTTTTTTTTTTTTTGGTATGGTATGGTATATCCTAAAATATTTAAATACATAACACAGAGTGCGGAGATGGCAATTGTGCACCAATATCTGGATATAGCTACAATCTGGACAACAGTATCTAGTCTCATTTCGAATTTTGCATCATCTTTTCTTTTTTTCTTTGTTTTTAGGACAGGGTGTACAGGGTCTCACTGCATAGATCGGACTTGTGATCTGCCTGTTTACAGCCTCCCAAGAGCTGGGATTACAGGCGCATACCACCATGCCCAGTCTCAATTGCTGTCTCAATGTGCCCCAGGGGTGGGGCTGGCAGGGCAGGCCCGGGGATTGAACCCATGGTCCCTGTGTCTACCTAAGTAGGCACTTTAATCCATTGAGCTATTTGGCTGGCCCTCATTATCTTTCTTTGAACATGCTTTGCACTGCCATGTTGGCCTTTCTTTACTTTTGTTCTGTGAGTGGTATGATTGCAGTAAAATGTCTCCCCAAGGATATAGCTTAGCTCCCTGCCTGACAAATTCAAGGTCCTGAGTTCAAGTCCTGGTTCCAAAAATAAACATAATGGTGAAAATATTCATGATGGACATCCTGGTCAGCATTTTGTTGTCCCATAATTTGTAATCACTTGTCTTGTTAGACTTAATCTAAATTTTAATCAACTTGTTGAACTCTCCTGTGTTGATTAAATATCAGATGACTTCCATACTGTGTGATCCACAAAGTACATAAATAGCTTTTAATAATATTTTTGTGAGGTAGCTCACTTAGTACTCCTCTCTCACGAGATATTCCTGTTCCCCATTTCTTTCTTTTTTTAAAAAAAAAATTTATTTATTCGTGTGTGTGTGTGTCCAGCTCAGCCCACCAGGGGGCGGCCCTGGCTGGCATGTGGTGCTGGGGGATTGAACCATGGTCCCTTTGCTTTGCTAAGCTTGTTCTAAGTAGGTGCTTTAGACCACTGAGCCATCTCACCAGCCCCTGTTCCCCATTTCTTAGTCCCTAATAAACCTTTTCTTTAAAAGAAAAACTATATATTTTATAATATATATAAATACATATTTTGTCTTCATATTTTGATTATAGGATAGTTTGCTAGATATTGGTCAACTCAGTTCATGCCATCTTGTAGAATATTAACTATTGGAATTTTTTTACTTTTTCTTTCAAATTCTGTTATTTCTGTATCATGAATAGTTTATAATGAGGAAACCTCTTTTTTGTTTTTCCATTTTATTACATAGACTTTTCCTCTCTGATATGCTAACTATTAAATTTTTTTTTTTCTTTTGTAGCTCTTGGCATTTCCCTTGTATTTAGTCTTAATGTCCCAGATGTGTCAAATTTGTGTTGTAAAAGAACAGTGGGTGGGTGGGGGAGAAAGAAAAAAATTTACTACTGTGTTCAGAGAAGTAACAAAACTCAAACTGCTAGTGTACTTATGATGAGTTTTTATAGATTGTAGCACAGAAGCATACGTTAACTTTCAGAAAATAAACACAAATTAGTAAAAGAAAGTAAGCAGTACTATTTGATTTCAATAGAAACAAACCAGTGGCAAATAAAATGTTAAATTTAAAGGTATGCAAAAATAGTCAATATAAGATAAACTTATGTACAAGTGCACACAAAAACTGGTTGAAAAGACGACTGAGCAACACTTAGGAATGTTGATATATATCCATGTACTGTCTGAGTGACTTCAGATAAATTTTTAAGTGGTTAAGAACTGAAAATGTACATTAGCATAGAAACTAGAGTAAGCAAGTACTTGAAAATAGAAAGTAGAGGAAGCAAGTCATGATGGTACACACCTACCATCCCTGAACTCTGAGAGGCTCAAGCAGGAGTATCAAAAGTTTAAGCCTAGCCTGGACAACTTAGCAAGAGACCTTGTCTATAAAACAGGGCTGGGTATGTAGCTCAGTGTGAAGACCCTAATTTAATCCTAGTACAATAAAAGATAAACAATTTTGAGCAATAAAATATGAAAAATGAAGAATACCCAGTAAGACACTTTTATTTGTTAAATGGGGAAAGTCACCTCTATATTTTAATGGATTTCATTTTTTGTGTAGTTGTTCACTTAAGATGTCACCTGATTTGTCTCCTATAAATTAAAATAGTATTTTAATTCATTCCAAAGTTAATAGTGTCAAGTTTCTACATTAAGGACTTTACAGGTTGGCAGCCTATGTCCAAGTTTAGAAATGGGAGATCACTATGAACCGATTGGAAATGCTGGCCTTTTAGAATAGAATGGGCCTTAATCAACAGCAGTACATACAAAGTCTGGCCAGTTGTGAATGTGTTGTTACTGACTGGTCCTGAATGTTTCTTTTGTTTTGGTCCTGAATGTTTCTATGTTAAGATGAACAATGTGACACGCATAGTGGCACGCCCCTGTAATCCCAGCACTTGGGAAGCTGAAAACAGGAGCATCACTACAAGTCTGATCTGTGTAGTGAGACCCTGTAGACCCTGTACTAAATTAAAAAAATAATTTTTAAAAAGATGAATAATGTGGTGAAAGTCACGGGGTTTGATGACCAAGTATAGGCTGCAGGGAATGGAGATGAATACTGTTAGCTGCACAAGGGTCTATTTTGACTCAAAGTAAGAGTCATAATTACTTTTCTGTGTCTTTATAATGTTTGGTGAAGGTTTGTTGAGTAAGAAATTTCATGTATATACAAACACTAGTGCCTTTGGCTTTGAATTAGATAAATATAGACATGTAGTAAATGATTTTCAGTCTTCAACCCTATATAAAATATAGCATTTTTTAAAAGTTCTGCCATATGTTTTATTTTTTTATTTTTTTTTGAAATTGTGCAAAACTTCTTTTATTTATTTTTTTTTTTTATTTTTCAACAAATAATACACTGCATATATTCTTCTCAGTGGTTAATTGCTGTACAAGATGCGGACCTGTGATCCTATTTACAAACACCATTATCTGCCATATGTTTTAAATTAATGTTGTTCCATGTGCCTTTCCTGTGTCTCCCTCCCCCTTTTTCTTCATAGTAGTCTATAACAACTCTCTTATTCTAGAGGAGAGATCAAGACTCAGAGAGAGGGGCCAGGAAGATAGCTCAGTGGAATAAGTGCTTCTCTGGCAAGCGCAAGGGCCTGTGATCAATCCCTGGTTCTGGGGGAAAAAAAAAAAAAAGACTCAGAGGATAGTTAATCTGGTCATGGTTATACAACCTAAGGTATTAACAAACTGCTGACTGCTCAATGTCTGACCTCTAGAATCAACCCATTGCCACAGAAGAAAAGTCAAAAAAATTTAAGAAGAAGCAACAGGGGAAGCGCAGAAGCCAGGGTGAAATCACAAAAGAACGAGAAGATGAGTGTTTCAGCTGTGGGGATGCTGGCCAACTGGTCTCCTGCAAGAAACCGGGCTGCCCCAAAGTTTACCATGCAGACTGTCTCAATCTGACCAAGCGACCAGCAGGTTGGTGCCAGAATCCATATAGAGTGCTGCTTGTTCTCTGCCAGAATCCTGAGGTTCTGATAGTACTTGATTACTAAATGGAAAAAAGTAGCTATTGCTTTTCCTCATGTTTAGTTATATAGTCTATGTTCTCATTCTGGAAATAAGTGGTAACTAAGGCTTAGAATCATAAATTATAGAAAGTGCAAAAAAATTTTTAAATTTCAAGTACTCTATTTGTCTCATCTTCCCAGTGGCACAAAAATGTTAGTTTTTCTCTATAATACATGTGATGAAATAGTTAAGACTGAGATAAGTTGCTGTGATTAGATGAAGGAACTGGATTGAAAACCAGGTTTTCAGAGGGCCAGCGAGATAGCTCAGCAGACTTTAAGTGTCTGCTTAGGCAAGTGCAGGGACCGGGGTTCTATTCTGGGTACTGCATGCCACACTGGCCCTGCCCCCGGGCATGCTAAGCTGGGGACAGAGTCCAGGCATGGTGACACCTTTCTGTAATCCCAGCACTAGGGAGGCTGAAGACAGGATGATCACTACAAATCCGACCTGCATAATGAGACCCTGTACCAAATACATTAAAAAATAATAATAATCATGCTTTTTGAGAAGAATGAAAATTGAGATAGGGAGCCTCAGCAACATAGTACCTGCCTGGCAAGTGCAAGGTCCTGAGTTTGATTCCTGCTACCAAAAAAACAACCCATAGTAAAGCCTTTGGGTTGTTCTAGTCAGTGAAAGATGGGGTGACACCCCTCTAGTCACTGTGTACCTAACTTGCCCTGCACTAGGTCTCTTCTTTTACGATGTAAATTTTTTTGCTTTGAAGAAACTAGTCATATCTGTTAAAATGTGAGAGAGCTGCTCAGGCAGGATATTGTGATTGCATAAGTTGATAACTGCTCATAATTTGGAGTTTGAAGATTAGAAGGATTTGGAAATGCTGTTTTTAAGAGTAAGAGATGAGTAGGGAGTCATTCCAGGATGAGGTGATTATGTATCACTAGTGATCTGTATTGAAGAATTAACAGAAATAGAACCTTGGAGTGCAAGTGAGATATCTTCCTCAACTGGCTTTCCTTTATTATGTCAAAAAGGAAGATGGGCCAGGGATATAGTTCAGCAGAACAAGTGCCTGCCTGGTAAGCACATGGTCCTAAGTTCGATTTTCAGTTGTTCCCTGCCCCAAATGTCTTCCTGAGTTGGCTTTCTCCTTTATTTGTCAGGTTTATGAAATAATAGAAACCCTAGGCTATATAACATTGAAATGTGAATGCCAGGATATAAACTTGGGACTTAGATATCTGAGAACTGATTCGTCAAGGCAGTCATGAACATGGGGTGATATAATTGATTGTGCCTGTATCCCAACAGTGAGGCCAAACATAGTTTATTTGGGGTGGGAATGCTGGCTGTAGTCAAAACTCAGATTTCTTATGAAAGGGGAAAAGGTAGGTACAAGCTCACATTGAGTTTGAGTCTTTTCCACTGATTCTATTTGAATAGTATAGAAAGTTTTGTGTTTTGAGACTTAAAGTTGAACTAAGATACGTTTCCTTTTTTTTCCTCCAACTGTGTAGCATTTTCCTATTTCTGTTAAAAAAACATGTAAGCAGGGGTATACATAGCTAAAGTGTTTCTCTTTGAGATCCATATTTGAAAAGTGTCCAGTACAGTGGAGTTTGCAGAAATATGAAAGTAGTATTCAAAAGCTTCATCCTAAATTAGGGATTGGTTTAGTTGGGCTTTTGTTTTTCTTCCTTCCTAAAAGTACTTTAAAGATATGAATTTACTCATGCTTTTATTTAGTCAATAATTGCTCAACCTTGATACTTTGCTGTTATTCTATGTATTGTTTTGTACAGAAGAGGGAGGAAGCTGAAATTCTGGGGAAGGAATAATAGAAGGTAAGTGGCATAAACTCTCTGAAAAAGGTAGCAGTTTGAAAAAGGCGTTACAGCCACTAAACTGAACCTGTTTTAGAGCCATGGCTCATCTCACATACATCTTTTTCCTAAGCTTTTATTCATTTTTTATATTTTCAGGGAAGTGGGAGTGTCCTTGGCACCAGTGTGACATCTGTGGGAAGGAAGCAGCTTCCTTCTGTGAGATGTGTCCCAGCTCCTTCTGCAAGCAACATCGGGAAGGGATGCTCTTCATTTCTAAACTTGATGGGCGTCTCTCTTGTACTGAGCATGATCCCTGTGGGCCCAACCCTCTAGAACCTGGGGAGATCCGTGAGTATGTGCCTCCCTCAGTGCCGCTGTCTCCAAGCCCCAGTACTCACCTGGCAGAACAATCGTCAGGAATGGCTGTTAAGGGGCCCAAGATGTCAGATAAGTCACCTGCTGATGCCAGCCAGTCATTGCCGCTCTCTAAAAAAGCTCTGGCAGGGACTTGTCAAAGGCCACTGCTACCTGAAAGACCTCTGGAGAGAAGTGACTCCAGCTCCCAGCTTTTAGATAGGGTCAGAGACCTGGCTGGATCAGGGACCAAATCGCAAACCTTGTTACCAAACCAGAGGCCACTGGAAAGGCCACCTGCAGTGGAAGGACCAAGACCACAGCTATCTGACAAACTCTCTCCAGTGACCAGCCCAAGCTCCTCGCCCTCAGTGAGGTCCCACCCACTGGAAAGACCTCTGGGGATGGCTGATCCAAGGCTGGATAAATCTATAGGTGCTGCCAGCCCAAGGCCCCAGTCACTGGAGAAAACCCCCGCCCCCACTGGCCTGAGACTTCCACCGCCAGACAGACTGCTAATCAACAACAGTCCCAAACCCCAGACATCTGAGAGGCCTACAGACAAATCCCACACCTCTTTGGCTCAGAGACTTCCACCTCCTGAGAAAGTACTATCAGCTGTAGTACAGACCCTGGTAGCTAAAGAAAAAGCACTGAGGCCTGTGGACCAGAATACTCAGTCAAAAAACAGAGCTGCTTTAGTGATGGATCTCATAGACTTAACTCCTCGCCAGAAAGAACAGGCCCCTTCTCATGATGTCACACCACAGGCTGATGAGAAGATACCAGTGTTGGAGTCAAGTTCATGGCCTGTTGGCAAAGGTCTGGGGCATATGCCACGAGCTCTGGAGAAAGGCAGCATGTCAGATCCCCTTTTCCAGTCACCTGGGAAAACTGCACCTCATTCAGAGCACACCTGGCAAGCTGTTAAATCACTCACCCAGGCCAGACTTCTTTCTCAGCCTCCTGCCAAGGCTTTTTTGTATGAGTCAGCTACTCAGGCTTCAGGAAGAGCTCCTGCAGGAGCTGAGCAGACTCCAGGGCCTCCCAGCCAACCACCAGGCATGGTGAAGCAGGTGAAGCAGATGGCCGGAGGCCAGCATCTACCTGGACTTACTGCCAAAAGTGGCCCATCTTTTAGGGCTCTTGGAAAGGCTCCATCCTCCCTCCCCACTGAAGATAAGAAGTTGGCAACTACAGAGCAGAGTCACTGGTCCCTTGGAAAAGCTTCTTCAGGGACAGGTCTCTGGCCCATAGTGGCTGGACAGGCACTGGCACAGTCTTGCTGGTCTGCTGGAAGTACACAGACATTGGCACAGACTTGTTGGTCTATTGGAAGAGGGCAAGACCCCAAACCAGAGCAAAGTACACTTCCAACTCTTAACCAGGCTCCTTCCAGTCATAAGTGTGCAGAGTCACAACAGAAATAATACCTGTAAATGTCACACGTCCAGACAAGCTGTACCCAGGGTACCATAGGGGAGGGGAATCTATGTTTCTTTCTTTGCCCTCTTTGAAAAACAGACCTATCCCAACACTTCTACTGTTATTCTTTCCTTGTATTACAGTACTCAGAACTCTTGTGATAAATAGCCAGTGGGGGGTTTCTGGTTTTGTGACCCATGTGTGGAAATTCAACTGGCCCCAGCCATGCAGACAGACAGACTTGCATCTCTTTTCCCCAATTTTTACACACAGTCAACTTACAATAAAAAGTCCACTCTGGAGTCAAGCATGGAGTTCAATTCCGCTGGTCAAGCTGGAAAGCATAGGGGCCCTTGATGCTATTTCTCCAGCCTAGCAGAGCCTCATTGAGGGCACTCCATGAACTATTGGGAGGGAGCATTCATGTGTGCTAGGCTTAGTGTGCTCACTAACGGAAAACACAGATACATAAAAAAGCCTGAGTCCTATAAGCATAACTTGCTGCGTAGGTTCCCAAAGCTGTTTTCAAGAACCTTTGACCTGGAAACAACAGAAAATACTGAGGGGCCTTGGATTTCCAGGCTTATTTTAACATGTTCTGTGTGGCATCAGAAGTAGCTATGTGAAACAAGTGTCTCCTGGTTGTGTGAGGGCATGCATGTATATGTATACATGCATCTTCAAAACTCTTTTGTGGATGGAAGTATCAAGGTCAAGAATAGGTTTTGGCTGTGGCAGCTGCTACTTTCATCTGCATTGTACCCAGTCTGCAGATATATCCTGGAGAAGCAGCTGATTTAGGAGGAACTGGGCTCTATGAGAATGTAGCTAGCTTTCTAGCAGTGAAGAGAATTGGCAAGCTTACTTTTCTTTTGTATGAATTTTTACATGAATCCATCATCATCATTCCCCACCCGTTTTCTCAAAACACTCAGGTGCTTTCAGATTTCAGTCTCAGGCAATGGACATAGGGAATCTGGCCAGCTGTGAGCCAGACACACTAAATTTCAGAACAGTGCTGGACCCTAATGGAGAATTATTTCTGCCCTAGTCCTTTGTCTTTTTAATTTTGAACTGAGGGAGTCCTCTTTACCATCTCCCTGAGAATTGCTGTGCTTCTTATGGAGAACACTTGCCTGCTGACTTAGTTCAAAAGCCAGAACCTTTCCCTAAGACTGGAGAAAGAAAATGTTTGGAGCAATTTCCAGTCTAAGAGATGATTCCTCATTAACTGCTGATTATCTGTTACTGCTGCGCTGAGCTGGGGGACACAAGGGCTGGGAAATCTATTGGTGCTACTCTGCCCTACCAGTCACCCAGCTCAACCTGCCAACAGGTAGTGCTGTTTGGCTAGTTCCTTCCCACTCACCCACCCCTCCTTTGTCCTTAATCCAGACAAATCTCTCTGCTTTGCCAATTTAGCTAGCAGCTTTAGCCAGTAGGTGACATCCTGGCCCTAGTGTCTTCTGACCATTGTGTCAGGTACTGCTTTTACATTCTCAACAGGATTCTGTATCTTGTCCCAACTTTCTCTTAAGTTCCTACTAAGATTACATCACTTCCAGGGGGGAAGGAACAGTAGTTATAGAAGCATTTGCGCTTTATATAAAGATTGAAACAGAAAAGGCTTTTATTTCCCAAAGCCTAATCTGTGGGGCTGAGATACTTGAACTTAGGCATAGGGTCAAGGCTGGGCAGGGCTGTCCTGAGTTTAAAGGCTATCCCTGCATTTCACTGAGACCTCAGAATCTGTTCTGTGATTTCTACCTGCCTGGTTCTTCCATTTCACCCTTTTTATCCTCTCTTCCACATCATCAGAAAAGCTGTTTAAAAGGAAGAGAAATATATAAAGCATCTTATTTTCTTTTAAAAGAATTTTAAACCATGAAAGATATTTTTAAAGAAATTACCCAGAACATTAAAGTTCACTATATTAAGTATTTATCATGTGTGGAATAAGTATATAACTGCAGCTAGTAGGCCCCTTCCCTAACCTTTTAGGTTGTGAGTAGGTTGCTTGGTGCCAGTCCTATGTGCCCTTTGCTCTCCTGTCATCTGTAGTTGTGATAAAAAATCTGCACTGCACTGTCAAAATCTCCCTTCACTATGTTGTGTGTTCAGTTATCTTATTAGCTTTGTTTCATGAAATAAACTGTGAATTTTTTTGGGGGGTGGGCATGCAGGCTATGTAAAGTTTTAATTCTCAACTAGCTTGTTCTGTAATAGGCTATGATAGGTGATTGATTTTGACAGCAATCTAGAAATGTCTCACAGATCAGGAGGGAGTGAAGGACAGGGGGCTGCAATTGGCCACTTTTTGGTTTTGATTTGTTTTTTTCCATTCTTTACCATTCACTAGAGGCTTTGTTCCAGACTTGCCTAGGAAAACTTCTGAGCTATGTATTTGGTTTTGGGCGACAGTTCTTTCAATGCAGTGACAACCAGGTTGCTCTCCAGAACCAGACTCAGGGTGTTGAATGGAAATTAGAAAGTCAAGCCATTGGGCCCACTGTAATAACATGGAAGCAGTCACTATCCAGTTAGAAGCAGTCAGCACAGCTGCTGGGAAATGATTCACATATGGAGGTGGGGAGAGGATGACCCAGCAGCCTTTTCAGACTTCTCCTGAAGCCTGCAGTGAGACCTTCAAAGGAGTGTGTGGACTGGCAGTAAATCTTTTACTTTAGAAACTTCTGATAGATGTGCGGGGTGGTATTTTATTGTCTGGTATTTGGCTCAATACTTGGAGATTAAGTTCTCAAGAGAGTCTGCTTATGAGCCAGTTTCCCAGAAGCCTTTCTGAGGGGCAAGCCAAAGATGGAAATGCTCCATAGGTAGCTAAAAAAATTAATACCTCTCTGAATCCTGATAAATCAGAAAAAATTATGGAAACTGATAGAATTTGTATTCAGAGTCTCATGTTTCTCCTGCTGGAACTAACTTATTCTAATATAAAACAGCTGTCATTGCCACAAAAGCATCTATGATTTTAGATACCTGCTTTTTTCTAGTTACTCAGTTTGGGATTACTTAAATCACTGTTGATTATCTTCTGAGCCAAATTCATCTTTTTGACATTGATTAAAAGAATTATTCTTGAAATTGCCCACCCTACACTACAGTCAAGGTATGAGGTATACTAGTAATCTTGTGGCACCATATGCTTATGAAACTGGAGTCCCAAGTTGTATTTTGATGTTGCCTTGTGAGAACTATCAGGCAGGAAGGAGTGCTGGTCCATGTGCAAAACAATCGAGAGCATTAAATTTGATAGGTTTTACTAGTAGCTCCTATACAAAGGTTTTCTCCTAAGACTTTGGACATTGTCAGCCTCTTAGGGTTTGTCACAGGTCAGAGGGCCCAGTGGCCTAACCTCCAAGACCATGGCAGGAAAGGCATTACCTCAGTCCTTTTTCCTGCTGAGTAACATTTGACTTTTCATGTGTTAAGACATTCCAATCATTTAGAGCTAGGTAACTGCTCTGGGAGCTCTGTTTGCCTGTGGCCATTTAGCTCTCAGCTGAACATCCTAGGCCAGTACAACAGGGCCAGGAGTTGCTGCAGGATAAATTGAAATAATTGTTTTGTGTACACACACATAATGATGGTGCTAATTTCATTATATAAATACACACTGCCAAGGTTTGAGGGACTGGTTACTTGAGAAAGTTGGGTTCCTATTTGGAAGGAAAGAGATTTCATACAAGAAAGTAGCACCTCATTGAAGCCTGTACCCAACCCTGGAGTGGTCCCATGCAATCCAGAGGTGGAAGAAATCCTAGAACTAGGTTAAAGGTGGTCACGGATTTTTAGACCTGGGGGTCACTTTGTGCAGAGCCTCTATCCACACCACCAGAAATAGGCTGGTAGAGAGCTCTGGGTCTCCCTCCAATACCTTCTGCCCCTCTACCTCTTCTACTCTCATGAAAGCATCTTTGTTGCTTATGAAGATTTTAAGGGTAATACTTCTTAAGAAAATGAAGAGTTTACTTAGCAATCTACAGACTCAGAATGTTTCTTGCCAGCATAAGCAGAACAGTACATAATAAATTCTTCTGTGGTCCTTTCCCTAGAGTTGCCTTCTCATGACTATGATATCAGGCTATTAGGGGCTCTGGAACAGCAACATGGGGCGCAGTAAAGCTCCATGGACAAGCAAACATAGGGAGTAGAGCACAAATGAACAGTCCTGGTACATTATGCTCCAGGGTAGGTGGAGCAGGTAGTCTCCCAGCTTGAGGTGGTGCTGCCTGTGTGTGTATGTAAGTGCGTGGAAAGTGGTGAGTGCAACACACAGGAGCTTGTGGAAGAGCAGCTTTGTAGGTCTTTGCAAAAGAAACAAGCTGACATGAGAGATCTGTTTTTATATTTTTAAGAGAGGGGAGGGGCAGGGGATCCAGCCAAGGCCCATCACTGTTGCCTCCCCCACCTTGTCCTGTCACCTCAGACTGTCAGCTGGAAGTGAAACTCCTAGTGAAAAAGAGGGGAACCCTGTGCTAGGAATCCCCATAAACATGTACTGTAATTCTTTGTATATATAAAAATAATACTGTAAAGTAAAGTTTAACTTTACTCTTATAGCCCTTGCCCTGTGGTTTTTTTTTTTTAAATATTATCCATGGGAAGGTGTAGCCTAACAAGACAGACTGGACTGAGAATCACAGAACCATCCCAGGAAGAGCTCCCTTTGGGGGACATAGTAGAGCTAAGGCCTTTGGCCAAGCACTTCCCCAGTAGGAGTAACATTGGTTTCCTCCCAGGTGCTACAGCTGCCTAACATCTTAACCTCCAGTTTAGAGTGGCTAGTGTCAGTTTCAGTCTCCTCCACAGGAAGCTTCTGTCACTCAAGAAGGAAGAGTATTTTGAGGAATTGGTTTGAAAAAGAGAAGCGGAACCAAAGTTCTTTGAGTGTTGAGTATGACATTGTTTACTTCAGAGGCAGGAAAGCTAGGGCAAAGGATAGGATGGAAGGTGAGGCCCATAGAATATAAAGGGCTGCATTTCCTTTTGTCAATCAAGAGCTTATCCTACTGAGCCATCTCCCTGGCCCCTTGCATTTCCCTTTGGATGAACAGGAAACACTACCCTGTTTACAGTAACATCTGAACCTTTAGAAATATGAGGACCTTCAAAGCCTAATATTTTGGGGGGACCTTGGGAGTGCATCTCCCGCCGGCCCTGAACACTAGTGTTTCAGCAAAAAGCCTTTAAGGTAAGAGCATGGTAAAGGCACTTAGTACTGAAGTTACTCTTGGATAGGGCTTTGGGGCTTTTTTTTTTTTTTTTTTTAGTGCTGGAGACGGAAATGCTAATAAGCAAGTGTTCTGCTAATGAGTTACATCCCCACTGAGCCTTTCCCATCCTCCAGATGGAGTCTACGGTGACCAGTTTGACCTTAGACTTGGCATCTTGCCCTCAGCCTCCCCAGGACACATGCATGTGGCACCATGCTTGGCTCACTTAGGATCTTGACAGTGGTTGGGTATAAATCATTTAAAGCTAAATAACTCAAGTGTTAAGTCACTTTTCTGTATTAGTAGTTTGAATGGATATGAATGTAGATCCATAAAACCTTTGCATTTTGCTGTTTTCCCTACCATTAAATCACATTTCAGATGTCACTGGGAGGCTCAGATCTGATCATGGGTTTGACCCATGGGCCCATGATAAACAGCAGTGCTAGCCAGACCAACTGTCTTAAATATTAACAGGAATGCCTGGTCCCTTTCTGTTTTAATTTCCAAGTACAATTTAAGTACTCTCTTGCTTTTCTCTGTGCCTAGAAGGAATTGCAAGCTTTGCACAGCCCTATCCCCACCCTCTGACTTTCTCTACCCCACAAAAAAAAAAAAAAGGCTAGGAGACATAGCTCAGTGATAAGAACATTTGCTTAGCATGTACAAGGCCCTGGCTTCCAAACCTAGAACCAGAAAATAAAGCCCATTGTTTCTCCAATATGTTGATAAACCTGAGAAAAAATTTGATTTCCAAAGGAAAACAAAGAATGGAAAGATTGTTAAATAGGAAGAGGCCAAGCCACAAAGGCCCAGAACTTGGTGTCTTGGCACTCAGTCCACACAGCAGGGAAAGGGCTGAGTAATTCATAGTGCACTGTTTTTATTTACAGATCAGAAGCCACTTAAAGAACCTGTAGACAAAGTGCTGTCCAGGACAGAATCCTGAGATTGAAATCAGCCCTTAACCCTCCTAATGCCCAGACCAGAGTCAACCCAATGCTGCCTCCATTCCATGGGCCAGCACAGGCAGTGGCACCTCTGGGGACCTGGGGTAGCTCAGACATTTGAACACCCAATCCCAGACAAGAGTTGGGCCCAACCCTTCTAGGGAATTCCTTTAATTCCCCAACGTCAGATGAGTGGTGCCTCAGTGATGACAACAGCTGTAGAAGTAGGGGTTTGCCTTCTGGCCCAGGTCCACGCCCTTGTCCTCTGTCAAAGAGAAGGTGGCAGCTCAGCACCACTGTGTTGGAATCAGATAACTCCAAATGAAGAGGGTTTAGAGGCAGAAGAACTTACAAAAGTCTATAAAGGATGAGGAAGTACACACCTGTCATCACCTGGAAGGCAGCCACACTGACATAATCATCTGCCACTTTCTGGAAGAGCTCGTCTGGCAGGAAATGGATGATCAATGAGGGTCTGATACCAGCAGCCTTGGGATCTCCCAGTGACCCAGCCCAATGGGTTCTCCTGCTTTCTCGGGTGCCTCTGCCTATTCCTACTGTGAGGCCTCAGGACATACTCACCCACACTCTGGCCTGTCTTGCTAGATGTTTCAAAGAGCCGAGCTTTGATATCTGCAAAGAAAAATGACTAAGGCTTCATAACAGAATCAGGTCAACAAAGGGGAAGGTTGACAGTTCAAGGAATGCCTTGGACCCCACAGGCTCACAAATATGAGAAAACTCCTAGCACACTTTGCCAAGGTAACCCCTATTTCCTGAAACCCACCCAGCAGTTCCCCCAACCCCCACCCCTTGCCCTGGGTTGAGTAGGTACTGTCGGCATAATCCTGAACATCATGGAAGTCTACACGTCGGCGCCGCCGGTCCTCCTCCAGCAGGTCACTCTTTGTGCCACACAGGTAGATTTGACAGCCCTAGGGCAAAGAACAAGGCCAGGATCACCTTTACAAAACCACAGAGCATCCCCCGCCAACACACAGTGTATCAAGGTCTGACCACCTACCTCTTCTAGGCTTTGCAGCTCCTTTACCCAGAACTTTGCTCTTTCAAAGCTACTACTGTCTGTGAGGTCTTGGTATCCGACATGAAAGATACACAACCAAGGATCAGGAGCTATTTTCTGAGGCAGGCTAGCACCAACCTCTCACTTGAACACACCAAAACACCTTACCATAGCAGACGATGGCAGCCTTGGCACCCCTGTAGTAGATTCTGCTCATGGCTTCATAGCGCTCAGAGCCTGCAGTGTCCTGAAAGGCAGGAAGAGGGTTAGCTTTTGCCTAAGTTACTGACTGAGCTACTTCTCAAGACTGCAAATTAAGACTATGTTCTTCAGACTCCCATTATCCAGATGAGAAATGGCCTCTATGAAACCACCAGTCAGTAATAGGACCTAAGCCTAACAAGTAGGAGTGGGTTTCCTCAAGACCAGATATTCAGGGGACTTACCCAAATACCCAAAGTCACTGTCCGGTCTCCTACGGTCATCACTTTAGCCACGAAGGCAGCCCCAATGGTCTGCAACGAGAGAGAAGAAATTAGGGGCGGAGGTGCAGACTGGCCCTCTCCCATTAGTGCCCCCCCGGGGGGGTTACAACTCACATTTTGGTAGGGCCCCACCAGGAAGCGGTCGTGCACGTATCGTTCCACCAGGCTTGTCTTGCCCACGTTCTCCTTACCCAGCATTACCACCTTGACGTCCACGCGCTGCCCACTCATGCTCCCTGGGCTGCTTCACGCGCGTCAGGGTCCGCTCGGCCCAGGCAGCGCCCAAGCCTCAGGCCCCGACCCGCAGCGCCTGGGCAGCGCCTGTCTGCCCTAGGTCTTTGGCTACGAGCGCCGATTATCCTTCCAAGAGCCCAAGAACTGGGCGGCCTGGGAGCGCGCCGCCAACACCCTCCACGGCGCCGCGCGCCGCCGTGAACTCTTCGTTAGTCACTCACCCTCCCGTTCACCTGCTCGCCCGCCGGGCTTAGACTCTGCTCCGGCCTCTGGATTCCCAACCGAACCTGGGGTCCCCAACAAGACTGCTCCAATCCGCAGCGCCGCGACTCCCGCAGGCGGGGGCGAGAGGGCGGGGCTCCCGGTCACGTGACGCGAGGCGCCGGAAGCGATGTACACGGTACTGCCGCGCCGGAAGTGTCGCGCGGCTGTACTCTCCCCTCATGGCGGCAGCAGTGACTTGGGCGCGGCGAGTCCGTGACTGAAGTGCGTACCTGGCGGGCGTGCGCCGAGCCCAGCCTGGCCCGGTCTCTGCCTGCCTTCCGGCTTCTTCTCCCCTGATGCTGCACTGTTACTGAGCTCACCTAAGCCGTGACAATGGTAAAGTATTTCCTGGGCCAGAGCGTGCTCCGAAGTTCTTGGGACCAAGTGTTCACTGCCTTCTGGCAGCGATACCCGAATCCCTACAGGTAAGTGACCCTGGAGAGACCAAACTCACCACTTAGCTATTTGAAGATCAAAGTGCAGGTCGCCCCTGAGTAATGAAACAAGGAAGGACACGATTTCTTGTCCGACCTTGGGGATATCCGGAACCGTTGCCGTCTTGAGAATACGAAGACCTTGTTGGGGGAGTCGGACTTTCTAGGAGTTGGTGATTATTTACTTGAGGCCCCAGTCACAGGTGCCAGACAGAAGAGGCGGGGGCACGTGAGTTGAGAGTGATCTTGGGGTTGGAAATCCGGGTATTTGCCTACTCGTCTGCCGGTGGCGCTCTCCAGTAGTGTAATAAGTCGTGAGATCTGTTCCAGCTGGAAGACTCAAGAATTTATATCAGGGAGGAGTCAGGAATTGGAATTTACCCTGGGATAGGTTCAGACTACCTAATTCTGAATCATATATGGCACGGATCACTCAGAAAGATTGCAGGAAGACATGGCCTGGAGACTCCATATTGAAAACTCCACTAGGCAGTCTGTCAGGGGCAGGCTTCTGAGAGTCCCCTTAACTCTGACACCTGCAGCAAACATGTCTTGACGGAAGACATAGTACACCGGGAGGTGACCCCTGACCAGAAGCTCCTGTCTCGGAGACTCCTGACCAAGACCAACAGGATGCCTCGCTGGGCAGAGCGATTGTTTCCTGCCAATGTTGCTCACTCGGTGTACATCCTGGAGGACTCTATAGTGGACCCACAGAATCAGACCATGACTACCTTCACCTGGAACATCAACCATGCCCGGCTGATGGTAAGACCTTGCCTCCCCCAAAAGAAGTAGATTGTTTTTCAGTTATGCAACTAGAGTTCTTTGGCCTGAGATGGTTCTGAATTACTGGGAACTGGGGCTCCAGGGTGCAACCTGAGATTATCTTTGTTAGAGCTAGTCAGCCTCTCTGCACCTGTTCCTTCACTCATACAGTGGAGAATGGTTACCCATTTTACAGAGTTGTTGCAGATACTAGGCACAAAGTACTCCTAATGTGTAGCACATGTAGAGGTTTGGAACACAGGAGTGATGCTGAGAGGGAGGTAGAGGTTTTCAGATGAGAATCCATAAAGCCATCAGGTGCTTTAGACATGCCCCAGGAGTTGAAGTTTTAGGCCCCTTGCCCTTTTTACTTCGAGTTCCACACTCTTCTGTTTCACTAAAAGGAATGTAGCACAGTGTTCTACCTGGATTTGTTCCCTTTTTATTTTGAAAAGCCTGAAGCTAGTGGTGTATGCTTGTGATCCCAACATTTTGGGAGTCTGAGTTAGGAGTATTGCAAATTCAAGCCCAGCCTGGGCATTTAGCAGTTTAGTGTGTGTTGGGGTGGGGTGGGGGTGGATCAGAGTTGTTGCTCCAAACAAAAAGTAGATCAGTGCTGGGCGGGGACAAACTAACTCTTGAAGCCAGGCTTTGTGGTATATACCTGTAATCTCAGATTTTGGGAGGCTGAGGCAGAAATATGGAGTTCAGCCTATACAACTTAGCAAGACCCTGTCTTACAATTTTTTGCTAGCAGAATGCACTAGGTCCAGTTCCCTCTACTCATCTCGCCTCCAAAAGCAAAGAAAATCTTAAATAGCTATGGTTTTTTGAGACAGGGTCTTGCTATGTAGCCCAGGCTGACCTTGAACCCCTGGCTATACCTATAGTTTAAATGTTATTAATATGCCAGACATGGTGACACACATCTGTAATCCCAGCACTTGGAAGGCTGAGGTAGGAGGATTGTTGTGAGTTTGAGATTAGCCTGGACTACAAAGTGAGCTCACAGCCAGCCTGAGCTGCATACCGAGACCCTGTCTCAAAAAGACTAAAAAAATAAATAAAATGTCATTAATAGAACACCTTCTTGCACGTGAGTACTCTTGAGGCTTTCAAGGAATTCTCTTTCAGTTTTTCCTCCTAACTTTGAGAGGTGGGTAGTATTCATTGTGCAAAGATAAAAAGATTCACAGAGTGAATATATTCTACAAGGTCACAGAGTATTACCTTCCTCTGGTGCTATACAACATCATGTGTGATTACTACATGAGGATACTAACTCTCCTTGAATGGTGATCCATTTGTGGGAAGTAGAAGCATTTGGGAAGTAGCCATCTACTTTGTCCTCTCTGATAAGAGGTATGATGGTTATCAGACATCTTTTTCCTGACACCATCAGAAAGCTCCAGAACTGCAGTGGCTAGAAGGCACACTGAAAATACTACATGTGGACCCAGCAGCCAAAACAAAGCCTAGGGTCTGTCAGCCCACTGCTCATCCCAATAGACCATGTCCTTCTGATTTTAAAGGTCAGAAGAAAGACTTTTATAGAGGACAGAATGCTTTTTCTTCTGCCTTTTAAGTGCTATTTGCAGATATGATAGGAAGGAATAGGTTTTCATTATTTCCACTTGGAAAAGAAGGCACAGGACCAGCTAGGTGCAGGGCTGCATGCCTGTTACTGTGGAGGCTGAGGTAAGGAATCTGGAGCCAGCCTGAGCAGCATAGCAAAGAGATAGGATCAGTTCTGTGTGTAAGTTGGCAGAGTAGAAGACACCCCAGCATCGTGCTTGGCCTGGCTCCCTGCACAGGTGGTGGAGGAACGATGTGTTTACTGTGTGAACTCGGACAACAGTGGCTGGACTGAAATCCGTCGGGAAGCCTGGGTCTCCTCTAGCTTATTTGGCGTCTCCAGAGCTGTCCAGGTGAGCATGTTGTAGTGTAGCTACAGCTGTAGGGCCCAGAGTTTTGGGCATTAAGGCTGGAGTAGGGGGTCACTAGACAGCTCCCAATCCTTCCCCTCCTCAATCTTTTGCCAGGAATTTGGCCTTGCCCGGTTCAAAAGTAATGTGACCAAGACTATGAAGGGTTTTGAATACATTTTGGCCAAGCTACAAGGTAAGCTTATCTCATCAGCGTAGAATCAGGACCAGTCCTTCTATGAGCCTGGGATTCCTTATGTGAAAGGGGTAGGGGATTACACATGCCACCTTCCCAAAGGGGCCTAGCCTATACGAAGTGACTGCCTGGTAGGGGCAGTGATTAGATGGGTCTTGTAGGTATCATCTGAAGCTAGCCTCCTGCCCTTTACTGCAGGCGAGGCCCCTTCCAAAACACTGGTGGAGACAGCCAAGGAAGCCAAGGAGAAGGCAAAGGAGACAGCACTGGCAGCTACAGAGAAAGCGAAGGACCTTGCCAACAAGGCTGCCACCAAGCAGCAGCAGCAGCAGCAGCAGCAGCAGCAGCAGCAGCAGCAGCAGCAGCAGCAGTTTGTATAGCTGGTGTGGGCCCTGCCACCAGCACCGCCACAGGTCACCAGCCATCATGGCACCGCTCCCTCCACACTCTCCCCGCTGTACTTTATTATTAAAAATCAACTTGTAGCCCTCCTTGCTGTCTGGGTGGAGGGTTGGGCAGGTAGCCTGTCATTTCTGCAGTACACCACAGTATCCATGTCCAAGCCCATCCTGCTTATTCCCCTGTTGGGCAGCTGCCAACAGGTGCAGAGAGGTGCGGAGATTTGCCTAGGTTCACTAGCAGAATGCAGGGCTCTTTGTTCTCTGTGACCCAAGTACCTGGAACAATACCTAGCACATAATAGGCACTCAATAAATACTTGTTGAATTCAATCAGCCCAAGTTCTGGAGTGGAGGCTTTGGTTTGGATCTAGACTCCTGCTTCTTGGTTTGGAACCTCAGGCAGATCACATCAAGTTTGCCTCAGTGTTGTCACCATCAAAGAGAAAACAGCCTGAGTTCTGAGGATTAAATGTACTCCCTGGCATAGTTGGTTTTGGTGGCGGCTGCTGATCTTCCTCTTTCCCAGTTGTGGCTGGACTTCCTGTTTTCATCAGGCAAGACCATGGATGGGAAGTTACGAAAGAGGCTTTTAATGAAAATACTGTACAGTATATATGGGGTGAAGGCCAGGGGCCTTGTCTGGGAAAGCACATGAGGGTCTGAGAAGCTCCTGACCCTGTGGGAGCAGCACAAGCAAGTGCTACCTTAATGTCTGGAAGGCCCAAGCTGCCTACCCTTTGGGGCTCTGGGGTATCCCATATACCTCCCCCACCCACACAGGAGGGGCCACCTGGTAGCCAGCAGCAAAGTCCAGGGAGTACCTGTTCCCATAAAGAGTGTCCTTTCAGTCCATCCCAATAGATAATTGACTCCGAGCAGCCCCCAAGGCTTGGGGAGGGATCCTGCTTGGCGGGATCAGCCCAGTGTGAGTGGTGGGCAGTCGGGGCAGTGAGCATCATAGCCAAGTGCCAGGATTATGCGAGTAGCTGTGCTCCTGGCCTGCGCTGAAGCTCTGCAGCAGCTCTGCTTCACCCCCAAACACCAGGCTCTCCACATCTACTTCCAGTTCCTCTGTACAGGAAGGGGCCAGTTAGGAACCGTAGCCTGCCCACATACCCCTCAAGCCCTTGGGTTTTGGGGCACTCACCTTGGTCAGAGTCAGAGCGTTCAGAGGAGAGCCCAGAGGAGTCCAGGCTATCAGCCCGCAGCCGCTCCCGTTCTCCCAGCCCTGGCAGCCCCTGGAGGTGCTCCAGCTGCCGCTGCAGGCTCTGTTGTTTGCTGCGCAGCTTCTCTTTGAGCCAGCAGGCCCGTTGCTCCTGCTCCTCCAATTTCTGCAGAACCCATAAGAGGAGGGGCTGGGGTCAGCAGGTTGGGCTTCAGGCCTCACTCCATTGCCACATCAGGTGCAACTATCAGACAAGCCACTGTGTCAGGACCCCTGGGAGTGGCTCCAGGTCCTCTGGGAAGCTGACCCGTAGATAACGTGTCTAAATGGGCACAGCATGGGGGATTATGCAATCTCAAATGCCCTCAGATTTTAGTCAAGTAATAAAATTAAATGGGGTACAATGGCCATAAAGACTGGGAATGAGGTACCCTGCAGCTGCATACTGTGTCCCACAGAAACCGCCATCTTCAGAAACCAGTCAGGTACTGCCACATGGCAACTGCCAGATCTCCCCATTTCTTTAAGGGAAGCTAGAAAGCCAGATTTTTTTCCTGTCAGATGTCAGTGCTACCAACTAATTCACACTGTTAGAAAACTAGACTAAACAAAGGCTAGCAATTTGTAACTCCTAACAGAGTTCTTCCCAGGAGCCCTGAGGTTCCATCCCTTATCCTTCCCCATGCTTTGCTACACCTCAAGTTTAGGATCTGGACAGTCCTTGAGCATTCCCACGCATAGCCCTCAGTAGGCAAACGGCTGCACTCATTTATTCAAGAAGGGAACAATGGGCTGAGGTGGCACTTGGACAAGGAATAAGAGCTACCAAGAGGGAGCCAGAGAAGCATGGAGAGTTGAGCTTTTCCTGTGTGTTGGCAGGGAGGGGGTTAAGTGATAAGCCCTGGGTTGGAGAGAAATGAGTTTCACAGAGAGAGGCTGAGGCTGTGTCCTTTCGGGGTTTTCAGGAGGAGCTGGACCTGGCCAGATCTGTGCAGAGCAAAGGGGTCATTCTGGGCAGAGTGGAAGACAACTCAGTAGGAGCCAAACAGAAAGCACAGCCATGTCCAGAAGAGTAATGGGGCTTCTAGGAGTGATCCTCAGACGTGGCCCTTGGGCTAGCCAGTGCCTGAGGAATACATGTCATCCATCTGAGAACCAGGCCTGGCAAGCTTCCTTTGCCAGCCAGAGTATTCAGCCGCAGACTGACAGCAGGCATCTATAAGAAGCAAATGCTTCCCACAGCCATGATTTATTTTGCTGGAAGGGATATGAATCTGTCCCTGCTATGGCCTTCAGTACCTAACGTGGGGCCGCAGAGCAGGTGCTCAATAAATATTTGTTTAAGGAAAGAATGAAAATCAGGGAGCTTGGGCCTGGATCCTGAAGCTGCCTCTCATCAATTGTGCCACCTGCCCCTTAGCCCAGCTGTGCCTTCTTTCTTCTCCTGTCAAAAGGCCAGGAGAACAGGAAAATTTATTGTTTCCAAGAGCACATCTAATGTGTACATAGCTGTAGCTGCCTGGTCCTTTGACTGTGCACAACCATTCCTGTCCACCAGGGGGCATAGCCGACCAATGCAGCTGCAGCAGCCCTGGGCAGGGTAGCTTTCCCCCACCCCCCTTTTCTTGTTTCTTTCCCTCCTTTCCTTCCAACCCCCCTTTCAGTACTGGGGATTGAACCTAGCATCTTTGCTTTGACCTAAATAAATCCCTAGCCCCTCCCCCCTTTTGTATTTTGAGACAGTCTCACTAAATTACTAAATTGCCCAAGTTGGGCTGGAACTTGTCCTGCCACAGCCTCCCAGAGTGCTGCAGTTACACCATATAAGTGTAATCCCAACTGATTGTTCAGCATGCATCACCATGTCAGCTAAAGCTGGCTCTTCACCGTCCTTTCCCTTTCTGATATCTGTAACTGCATCCTAGAAGAGCATCAGGACAGAGAACTTAGGACAGGAAGCCTCAAAGGATAGGAGAAAGAGAATAGGGACCACCGGCTACAACTTAAGGGACCCTTACATAAGATTTATCACAGAGCCTTTCCCACAACTCTCCTCTCCCTGCCAAACCGAAAAGGAGACGGAAGTTGAGACAGGCTAAAGTGATTTGTGTAAGGTCAAGGAGCTGAGATCTAAGAATAATAGTAATAACGACAATGAACATTTATAGGGTGAATTCACTGAAGCCTCAGAACAACCCTCTGAGTTATTTTCTGCTTTTCTTCCCATTCCATAATTTTGGAAACAGTACAAAGACCTCTCCCAAGTCACATAGTCTATACATGGCTCTTTCCCTGGTTCTACCCAAGCCTTCCACACCACATCCCTCCACACAGCCTGGCAAGCTGCCAGGTGCAGGGAAGGCCCCCTCACCTGGATATGCATCCTTGCTCTTCGAAGCAGGCTCAGTGTGGTGTATCGGGCACAGTCAGCCCCTAGGGGCATCTGCTGCTTCAGCTGTTCTAGACACCGCTTCAGCTGGGCCCTCCTGGGGGGAAGGGTCTGGAGGGCAGTGCGAGTCCCAGCTCGAAGGCCAGAGGGTAGCTGAGAAGGGAGGGCCCAAGGGAGGTGGCTCCTGGGACTTGGTGCTGCAGGGCTGGGGTAGAACTCACCTGCGCTTCTCCAGCTCATTGTGCACAGATCTGCCAATACCAGGAAGGATGGGGTGAGGGGTTGTCAGCTATTGGCTTTGCCCTTTAACCCAGGACCCCTTAAGGCTATAGATATTTGCCCCAAACAATCTACCTGTGAGGACCTTGTGCTGGCCTCAAGCATGAGAGCCCTCAGGAAAAGGGAAGGGAAATCAGACACCTCAAAGAACCAAATGCTGAAAGTCCTGCCCAGGTGATTGTAGGGTCCAAATGGGGCTTCCCTGCCAACCAGGCATCAAAGGCTTCCTGGACAGAAGTCACAGTTGAGCTGAGCATAAAACAGAAGTTTCCCACAGTGGATATTGGAGGGAAAGGCATTCAAATGGGAGAGCAAGCAAAGAGTTGGTGCACTGCGAGAAAAGAAGAGGGGGCGGTGATGTATGGAGTGTAGGTGTGAGAGTGAAGTGAGACCCAGAACAGTCTTATTCACACTTCCTGGCACATCAAAGACACTCAAGAAGTAGTCCATAAATGAAAAAAAAAAAAAAAAAAGTGCATGTTTGAGGTGTGGCAAGATGGCTGAAGGGGTATGATTGCCTCTCAGAGCGAGGTACCTGGTCTAGAAGAGGTAAAACGAAGGAAATGGACACTGGAGGGGGCTATGAGGGACAACGCCCACCCAGCCCACCACCACCTTCGTCCCTCCTCACCGCCCACTGTCCAGCGCGCCAGGAGCTTGTGGGGGTCGCTTCTTCCTCCTGTGGATGGGCCCTGGACTGTGGTGCGGGCACAGCGATGCATAGCCATGCTCCGCCTCTGTCAGAGAGAGTTCCGGCCAGTGTCAAGCAGGGACTGGACTCGTCCTAGCAGAAGCCACTTGCAGGACATGGTCAGGTTTTGGCGCCAGAATCATCCCCCAAACCCTCCCTGCCGACTATCCACAGATTCCTCTCGGGTTCAGGGTGGGAGAGCCCGGGAATAACTGTCCTAGAGCAATGAATCTTTCGTTCAAGTTGGGAGCCAAGGCGAGTGTCAGCGAGGTCGCCCAGGAGTCCTGCCAGGATTGTTTCTCACCTCTTTCGCGGCGCTCCAGGAACTCGGCTGCTTGTAGCAGGACCTGGATGTTGCTGGCCATGTGTTCCATGTCGACGACACCTGGCAGCTGGTGGACCTGCGGTGCGGGCTACCGCTGCGGCTGTACAACTTTTGTTACAATGTAACTGACACAGGGCAACAAATAAGGGCTCTGGCCCCGCCCACAGCAGCCCCGCCCGCGGGAACGCCCTGCCTTTGGCCCCGCCCCTTCGGAACGCTAGTGGAGCACAGCCCACCCTCCGGGTGCCGGCTCTCCTGGGGCGGCCTCTGACTCTCTTGGGCCAGGTACTGGTGCCAGCTCCAGGTTTGGTTCCTTGGCGAGGTCCCGCAAGTTAGGGGTTACTGTGTCTTCCCCACTTCATTTAGCAACCCCGACGGTTCCTTGGTGCCTTTGGGCCTCAGTTTCCAGCGAGTGAGGAGTGCCGGACACTTAGAACAACGATATAGGGCTCAAGCTGTTCCCGGGCGTCCAGGCTCGGCCAAGCACTTGAACGCCGTAGGGGCGGGACCGGCCGGGCGCCCATTTGTGGGTTGCCTCCCTGGGGTTGCTGTCGTCATCTTCTGGGCGGGGACGAGGAGCTTCTGAGGTATGATTGGCTGGCACACGGCCCTGCCTTCTCCCTCTGCTGGTCAACAAGTTCGGGCGGGAAAAGAAGCTGGTTTCAAATTTGAAAACCCGGGTGCTGAAGGCGGGGTTGAGCTGGGAACGCGAGCCCAACGCGCAAGCGCTGGCGGAGGGAGCGTAGACCCCACTCCTGATCTCCTGCCTACTACCGCCCCCACCCCTACCCTCGCTCCGGCTCGGCCTCAATGCTCAACTTCCTTTTGTGTGGAGAAAGGATCCTCGCTTGGCTCCCCCACCCTAGTTGTCCAGCAGAAAGCCATTGTTAGCACGAAGACGTCTATAGTGTAACAGCTTCCCAAGGCATTCCATACCCTGGAAGTATGTCTTCTGGCTTTCTAGGGAGCTCTGAACTGGATTCTGTAAATAGAGACTGTCTCTTGTCAGTGCTGACTCAGCTATATGTAATTGGGTCCCCAGCGACTACAACATAGTGGAAAGATCAGAGCCAGTGCCTATGTAGTGCTCTGGTAGGAAGCAGCTGATCCTCTCTAAGACTGATGCAACCAAGAACAAACTTCTTCCTTCTAGACAGGCTTTTTGGGGCTGGGGAGATAGCTCAGTAGAATAAGCGCTTGCCTGCCAAGTGCAAGGTTCCGAGTTCAATCCCCGGAATAATAATAATAATAATAATAATAACCTAGACAGCCTTTTTGAAGTGTGACTTTCACAGCATCTAGGAGCCCCCTTTTTTCTTAGAGTTTTTCCATGCAGCTCAGGCTAGCTTTGAACTCACTATGGAGGCTAGGGTGACCTCGAACTCAGCAATCCTCCTGCCTCAGCCTCCTGAGTTCTGGGATTACAAGCAAATGCCACCACATCCAGCCCATGACCCCATTTTGCTTTTTGTTTGTTTTTGTATTTTTTAGGGAAGGGCCTACAGAGTGTTCAGGGTCTCACTACTAGATTGGAGTTGTAGTGATCTGCCTGTTTACAGCCTCCCAAGAGCTGGGATTACACGTGTGCACCACCATGCCCAGTCTCAATTACCGGCTCACCACGTCCCCCAGGCTGGGCCAGCACAGGGATGGAACCCCAGGGCCCTGTGCCTGCTTGCAGGCACTTTAATCCGCTGAGCTATTGGCCAGCCCAATGACCCCATTTTGTACGACTTTCCTAGCTCTCCAGCACAGCAGCTGCTGACCTTCCTAGGTGGTACATCAGCAGGTATAGCTACACCTCTAGGACCCAGGTAAGACCAGACGTTAACTAGGTGGGGCATTCCTGCGAGGCCTGGGGGTCCTGATAAACAGGCACACATTCGACCTTGGAGGTTCTCTAAGTCACTGCCAGAGGAATCACTCACCCATTCACTCTCCACTTATTCGGGAAATATTTTAGTACTTTGGCAGGCTCTCACAGGAAAAGAGGAACATTTGGATCTAATCAAGGAGGTCAGAGGTTTTGCTAGAAAGATGTATGATATAGGTGGGAAGAGAATTCCAGACAAAGGATGTGCAAAGGCCCCTGGGGTTGAAAGAAATGTAGCAGCTTGCAGGCTGAAACAAGGCCAGGTGGTTCCATAGAACAAAAAGCATAGTGCAGACTGACACTAAAGCTGTCTGGACTCAGAATAGGCAGATGCTACCTCAGACTCCCATGTGCCTGAAAGAGGCAGTTGCAAGATTTTTAAAAGCCTAATTTTATTTCCCTAAGGAGAGCACCACACAATGAGGCACAAACCTAGGCAGACATCTGGCACCCATGTGGTCTGGTCGTGGACTCTGGGTACAATGGCAGCAAAGAGGGTCTTAGAGAAAAGTCCCCAGCACCAACAGAGAATAAGGCAGGAAAGTGCAGACAGGGGCTTCAGAAGGGCTGTGCGACCACATCAAGGAGTTGGGGCTTTTTACCCTTGGAGCTAGGGGAAGATTCGAGCTGAAAACAGTAGGCCTGGACATCTGTCCAGCCTCTCACACATTACTCATCCTCTCCTGTTCCTAAACAGAGGCATTCCTCAGCGAGCTACCCAGGCCTCCATTCAAAATGTTTCAGGTTTCAAAAGTAGGAGCAGTCTAAACACACAGCTGTACTCCTTCAGCTCTGTGGTGTAACTGAGCTGAGCTGAGAGATCATGTCATCTCTCTGTGAGCATCTTTCTGGATTTTCCCCATCGCATGATCTACTGATTCATTCCTATACTATTTCTATTATTCTTCCTTTTCGTTTGTACCCTAAACTTTCCATCTTTGAAAGGAATGTTAGGTTTGGCCCCTGTGCTAGTCCAGACAGTAGAAATCAGCACAGATCTGTTCTTTCCAGTACAAAGGCTATGCACAGAGTGAAGAGGATAATTTATATGAAAACTTGAACTTGGTATTGTTTTCCAGATGAGATATTTGAAGAACAGGAAAACTAAGTGGGCTGCTCCAGTGCTGTAGGTTATAAGCAGCAGAGGCCATGTATAAAGCAGGGGCTCCTGATGACAGGTGATATGTCAGTAGTAATGCCAGTCTAACTAGTGCCTCCCTCTCAGTGCTTCACATGCAGATAGTGCGGCTACCTAGGGACACACCAGTAGGTTGTCTCCATTGTGAGGCAACCCAGTAGACTCATGTTGGTCCTGCTTTGTGTTTATTTTGTTTTGTTTTTCTGTATTGAAGACTGAACACAGGGGCATCACTCTGAGCTATATCCCCAGCCCTTTTTATTTTTTGTCTTAAAACAGGGTCTCGGGGGCCAGGGAGATGGCTCAGTAAAATAAGCACTTCCCTGGCAAGTGCAAGGGCCTGAGTTCAATCCCTGGTTCCACAAAAACAAAAACAAAAAAAAAAAAAAAAAAAAAAAAAAAAAAAAAAAAAAAAAAAAAAAAAACAACAGGGTCTCACTAAGTTGCTAAATTGCCCAGACCGGGCTTGAACTTGTGATCCTCTTCCCGAGTGCTGGGATTCTACATGTGCATCACCATGCCTGGCCTTGACCCCAATTTTGGCAGATGAGGGTAAAGGTTCAACCACCCCATCAAGCGCTTAAGAATCTGGACATAAAGGATTAAAAGTACACACTCTCTTACTTATGGGATCATCACTACTTCTGGTATTTGCAGTCAAGCCTTTGTCTTGCGTCCCCTGCACTGGATAGGAAAAAAGAAGCTGAGGTTTGATGGTAAGGAACAAAAAGTATCCTCCTGTCAGCATCTCCTCCTACATCCTCCACTGCAGGTCCACCAGAAAAGCAGAAGAATCCACGAAGGAGTGACCCTCCCTGAGCCTCCTCACATGAAGTATGAGCACCCAGTCCTTTCACCTCTATCTTCCCTTGCTTTAGTGAACAAATATCTCTCTTGCCTGTTCCAATTCTTCATCAAGCTACTGCTTTGGAAACAATATCTCTTTGCCCATTGTTGGACACTATGGGCTGCAGAATGTTTCCCTTGGTCTGAAGAAATGTGACTTGGCACATTCTCAACTTGGTGCTATATCTTTGATTCTCATTGTTTTATTTATTTTTTCTTTCAGTACTGGTGAGTGAACCCAGGTCCTTTGTACTGAGCTACATCCCTAACATTCTCCCTACCCCTCGAAGACAGCATCTCCGTGCTCACTGAGTTGCCTAGGTTGGCTTGATCCTCCTCCATTAGCCTCCCAGAGTGCTGGGATGACAGGCATGTACCACCATGCCTGACCCTTTCTCAACTTTTTACTGTGCTCTGAGCTCTTCAGGGTAAACTGATCCTGGCTCAGAGTGACTGTCTTCTCCTGCTAGACCCTGTGCACAGCCTCCAGGGATGACAGGCATCAGTCTGGCTTGCCAGATCCACACAGAGGCTTTCACTAGGAATCTGCCCCACAGCCTGTCTCAGAAGGCCAAACAGCTCTCATTGACATGCTCACTACCTCAGAGGATGTGAGAGGAACACACGAGTCAGCTGTCTGCATGGCTTCAACCCCACTCCCCAGCCTTGCATCTGATGGAGCCAAGCAGCCACCTTGTGTGAGAATACTGGGACATCTGCCCCTGGCCTGAAACATCATCTGGTCCCAGAATGTGGATCTTCTGATGGGCAACAACATGACCTCCTTCAGAATACCTACAAGTTCTCATGATTCACATGGCCACTGTGAGTCTCTGGAAACCCAGCTGTAGAGGTAAGTGGCATGTGACTCTAAGCCACCTTTGCTTTTCCTTTCTTCAATCAGAACATTCCAGACAGGAAGCTCTCCTGTCACCTCAAAACTTCCACTCATAATAAGCCAGTGTTTTGTCAATAAGAGCTGTTTATAGGGCTCTTCCTAAGTGGCCCAGCTGGCCACAGGACTCAAGCGCCATTGATGAGTCAGCTCCAGGGGAACAATTGCCCAGTTTAGGTCGCCTCATTGCCCCTACCCCAGTGCACACTCGTGTGCAAAAGATTTCATTTTATTGTGAACTAGTTGGTCAGTCCCCCCTCCTTACCTGAGCATTTCTCCAACATCATCCTACACATTGAGTTTGTTTGTTTGTTTTTGTTTTTTGTCTTTTTTTTACATTTTTAAAAATTCATCTTAATGA